TCGTACCGTCTTAAATTGTTTTTATAGCGGCAACATGTATTTTAAATTTTTTACAGTCTGTATTTTATTATCTCGTCTGGACAGGGATAATAAACAATGCTGCAGTAAGCGATTTTAATCAGTATTGCTTAAGGCCCAGGCGGCAAAGATTAGGATAGCACCACCTAATCACGAGCTACTTTGCTGCAAACAGCAAGCTCTGCATAAGGTAGATAATTGTTTCCAGGAACGCATTCATTTTGATAACAGTAATTTCCTTTCTTCTGGAAATATGGGATTCTCAAAGACTTTTTTTTAGACATAGAGTTTACAGACCTTCTAAACATAAAAGCCTAAGGGAGTTGACCATATGTTTTTTACATCCAATGTCCCGAATATCCCGTTCGGAATCCGACGTGTCACAGTAGCTACTGGGAAGAAGCCTGGCTTTGTTTAAAGATAATATACAAGATCGATAGAGAATCAGTGAGGTCCGTATTTAAAGTGTACGAGCGGGACAGAGACATAAACAAGTACGTTAGAGCGAGAGCTGGAATGAAGCGTGATCGTCACCAGGATGAGTCTACTGACATATCATTCGCGCTGTCGCTCTAACATACGTGTCTCTCTATCTCCCTCAAACACATTAAATACAGAACCTCAATGGTTCTCTGTCAATTTTGTAGTTTGTAAAATGGCAGAGAGTAAATTAAAAGATTCCGTAACAGACTGTGTCAAACGTCTCTCACATCTAACTCTCGCCTGTCTCCTATAGAGCGATTTTTATTTTTTTTTATTTCTTGCTGCATCGCCACTGGATTGATTGTAAAATACAAACAACATAATGAATGTGACGTTCGATCCTTTGATGTAGCAAATATGACTTATTACTATTATACTACTACTACTACTACTATTATAGTCGAAATCAAGAAAGATGACGATTACGTAATCATTTTAGTCTGTAGTAAAGACAAACGACAGCGATTTGTGAATATATCTAATGAAGTTTCTGATATGTTAGACAGAGACAAACAGAATTTCATTGTCTAAACAAACTGTATTGCTAATTTGCATGTATCCGACAAAGATAGACGATGTTTTCATGTTGCATGATCGATCATATTTGAAAGATGAATAGTTAGGTTATGTGAAAGCAGGTTATGTTGTTTTCGAATAATACTTTGGTCTTGGGTGTTCCTATCTTAAGGTATTTTACTCATAACTGTTTTTTCAAAACAAAAACTCCCCACTAAAATTATTATTAAGGTATCACTCAAAACCATGAAATAAAATGAAAATAAAAATAATCAGTGAAATAACCCAACTTCGCAAAATCATAATATAAATTTGTTGTCATTATGTTTCTGACTCGTGATTTTATCAACGACGTACGTCCATTGATTACTTCAGTACAATTTATGGTATGACGTAATAGTCATCTTTCGTGATTTTGACTATATCACTACATTACTACAACTGGTTTATACAAGGCTGAATCAAATATGAACTGGACTTTTGTTTTAGTTATTTTATTGGTATAGTAAACAAGTTTATTATTAATCTCCTATCTTATTGATGCATTTTTCCCATCGGATCGGAAGTTTTTTAATGCCCCATCGAAGAATGAAGCTGGTCGTGTCAGTAGCCAATTGTGCACGAACGATTCCACACCTTCGTCGTCGTCAAAGTGGTGACCTCCCAGGTCGTTTTAAAGTAGCCCAAGCTTGTGATAGTTACGTGGCGACAAATCGGGACTGTAAAGAGGATGTTCAAGTGTTTCCCAATGAATTTCGCGTAATTTGTGCGTGGTCGAGCGTTTTCATGGAGCAGAATGGCACTTTGAATAGGCATGTCTCGCCTTTTTCGCCGATAAGCAGTAGTAAGCAGCATTAATTGTACGGGGATCGTGAAGAAAATCAACTAGCAGGACACCTCTATAAAAACTTTTCCTGTAGAATGACTGATCTTGGCTTTTCGCGATGCTGCCTCTTCAGGCTTTCGTCACTCCATGGATTTTTTTTTGGCCACTCGTATAGTCGTATCCTATTATTGCTGAACTGTGCTTTTAATCGACGAAAAATTTCTGAAGGATTTACGCCCTCCCGCGACAAAAAATTTATGATAAAGTATTGCACAGCAGCCGTGTGCAACTCTTGCTTAGACATGATGCTACTAACAGGTCATCTACTTCGGCGCGCCAAACCGACTGACTCCCCTCTTCCTGACATCCCAGCCCGGAAAAAAGTTCGGTTCATATTTGATTCACCCTCGTAGAACACCCAAAACGAGTTTCGCTAACTATGCAGTGATAATGCTCTGTTGTAGTGAAAAGCAATCTCAGTTTTAGCGATTAAGATACCTCTTCGCCAGTGGCATGGGAAGTAACAGGAAGAATCGAATGATCCACCCTTGCCAGACAGCTACTCAGTCTGTCAAATTATGTACGTATCATGAACTGTCCAATAAGGTGCCTCGATATTTGGCTCCGACTTCAGGGCTGTTCCAATTTAAGAAAATGGCGTCTCAAGTAGATTGACTCTATACTTCTTACGCCTTCGTTGGAGGTTTCAAATAAAATGTATGTGTCAAGTCGTTTCAAAAGGCGTAAATCGAACCGTGATTAGGTAGGTTCACTTAGGCACGATGAATCTTCGACCTCTACATATCAAAAGATATAAAGTAAATCTATGATATTTCTATTTCCATGGCAAATGTAGGTTAAGCATGTGTGACTCATTATGTCTAACTAGTCGATAATATTAACGGAATCAGCAGCGTCTTAATAAGGTGTTTCACTGACATCAAACATGCAACAATTTACAACCATTTACCGCATACCGCTACAATGTCTGAAAATGAGGAATCTCTGAAACGTTGTAACTTTATGTTCCAGTGTTTTTTGTTTTTTGTCCGTAGTTTCATCGCCAAATTTCAAAATCTACCCAAGCGATGAAGGTATTAAGCTCGATAATATTCGAATTTCAGTTTACAAGTTCTTTGTTGCTTAAAGATATCTGCATCACACAGTTACGTGATTCTTATTTATGTCGGTTTGCCAGTTTGAGTATCTTGTACATAAATGCGTCATAGGTACTGAGTCAATCTACTTGACGAAATATTCTTTGAACCGTCATAGACTGAGTAACACATATTAAAGGTTAGGCGAAATGGGTGGTACATTTAAAGATCATAACATTCAGATAAATACAATAAATACAATCCTGTAAGAATATTACAAATAAAAGACGTTAATTATTATTATTATTATACTCTTACCCAAATATTCCTAAAATATGGGGTTGTCCAAAACGGACGCAGGAAAGTAAACGCATATTAAAACAAGAAAGATTGTTATTCAAATCAAGTTGGGTACTTTATTATGAAAAATAATATCGCTCAAATGTTCACCACGACTGGATTTACAGACGTCCACGCGATGGTCGAAATTTTCAATGACATTTTGCAACATGGTCGGTTCTATGGCATTTATCTCGGCAATGATGTTGTTTTTGAGTTCTTGGAGGGTGGCTGGTTTGTTGACGTAGACTTTGCTTTTCAAATATCCCCATAAAAAGAACTCCAAGGGAGTCAAATCGCACGATCTTGGTGGCCATGGCACATTTCCTCTGCGCGAAATCACGCGATCACCGAAGGACTCCAATCGATGGATATTGACGTTGGTTGTGTGGCATGTTGCACCGTTTTGTTGGAAATAAACATCGTCCATATCCATTCCTTCAAGTTGCGGCAAAAAATAGTCCTCTATCATCACGTGATATCGCTCAGAATTGACGGTAACGGCGTCCCCGGCCGCATTTTCGAAAAAGTAAGGTCCGATGATGCCTTTTGACCACAATGCACACCACACAGTCACTTTTTGAGGATACATCGGCTGCTCTTGATACTCACGGGGATTTTCGTTCGCCCAGATGCGGCAGTTTTGCTTGTTTACCGTCCAATTCAAAGTGAAATGCGCTTCGTCGCTGAACATGGTTCTCTGGTTCTCAAAATGCCCAATTCTTGGGATCGACGCGTTGTTGATTGTTTCGGATCGTCTCTCACACTCTCCTTCACAACAGCAATATTTTCCGGCGTGCGAACGCTCCTTGTCCGGCCAGAGCCTAGCAGATTTGCCACAGAACCTGTTGCCTCGAATTTACGCACCAGACGACCGATGGTTGTTTCGTTTGGGCGGTTGTTGCCACCGAAATGTTCACGAAGCGCGCGAAACGTGTTTTTTATTTTTGCGCCATTTTTGTGGTGCTCTTGTATAACTTTAATGCGGTCTTCAATCGAATACGACTCCATAGCGATCAATGGTAAACATTCAACTAACAAAATGACATGTCGGTGACAGAAAACAAAGATGGCGTCTATGTCAAATTGACGTTTACTTTCCTGGGTACCTATTGGACAACCCTTTATAAATATTCTCCTGCACCGGTATGTCAGGGACGACCCCGCCGCAGGTTTACCAACTGGAGTTTGCGCTGACGGCAGTAGCCTCCACGACAATGCAACGTTGCAGCATCGCACCGTGCACGCAACACCAATGATTGCAAGTTATTTCGAATTACAAGTACATTATACATCCGACTTTTATCATTAAATTTTCCCATTGATGCCAGGATCAGAAACTTCTTAATGGTAGAACGTCTTTGACTAATACTGAGGATGTATCATTTAGAAACCCCACCCTCAATTTTCAAACCCTACAAAAGAGTTATCGAAACTGATCAGGAGCCTCTGAAACGTCGAAAAACGATGTTTTGTTTGGCGTAGGAAGTAAAATCTAAAATACGATAAACAGTAATTCCTAGTGCCGCCTCGACAAAGGGCCTGATGCATTCAGCAAGGAATAAGTTCTAACTTATCAGTGACGCCACAAAAGAATATGACCTGATACAACTTCATAATAATGTTCCAACAAGTTAAAGAAACAAACCACTTTAACAGAGATTATTTCTCACGCGTTCCTCTTTTCTCGAGGCACCTAACTTTTCAAAGTTCACTTACAGCTTCCGAAAAGTTCAAAGAAGTTGCAATTTTCTCGTCGACAATGCAAAAAATCTGATTATGCATACACACCTCCTTTTGCTGGCTATAAAAATAAATTGCGAACTCAAGAACAGCTGAAGTGGGAAGAGGGAAGGGTAGATTTACCGCGGTTAATTTATCTCAATTTTAAAGAAAACTGCTCACGGCTGGAAGCTCTCCTGCATGTGGCTCACTTTAATAGGATACTTTCTTCAGTTTATTACACTTTGCGGCTTCGGACAATAAAATACTTGTTTCTAGGAGTAATCAGGTGTTATGAAGTATCTGAGGTAGAACGGAAAAAAAAAGTAAGCCCACGTTGAGGGTTGTTTCATCCGTTTTTAGAAATAAAAGATCAATTTTAGGAGCAACTCTGTTACTAAAGAGTTTCTCTTTTCTGTAATATTATTTTTTAAAGGGACAAAGACGTCCGATTATCTAAAGTGGGATCAAAAGTGATCAACTTGATCAACCACCAATTATTCGATGACTCCTTAAAAACTCCTACAGTAAAGGCCGACCATCGATGTTCTCTACATGTACAGGATTTCAACAAAGTTGAAACTTTTCTTTAAATACATGATCTACAGAACAAAGAAGTTCGATGTTGAGGCATAGTGAAGGCCAATTTACCTCTAATCTTCACAGATTGAGCTGAAAACCAGGTTGAAAAATTAGGGAATGAGAGTAAATTTCATTCAAAAGTTTATGAGTGAATGTGTTCAAATGAAGATATCTTCTAGTTTCCATGTTTAAACAATGTCACTCCTTGATTCTATGTGAAATGTGACCATACTTCTTCATCCCATACACTAACCTGCAGCAGCTATTTTGGATCTTTAACTCAACTCCATTGGTAAAATCGAAGGCAAATGATTATTTGAGGACAGTTTATAAGCGTTAATTTATCTCAATTGATGAACAGTGCTAAGTTAGCTTTTGCGGAGCTTTTCTACATTTAGATATTTGCGCAGCTTTCTTGGTGCCAGATCATAATTTTCTTGATCTCATTGATAACCAAAGACCATGTTAATCTGGACTTTACTTTGAATCTTTAAATAATGTCGATGTTGGATTCCTTCTCGAAAGCTTTGCCCCATAGTTGATAACCATAGATCCCCAAAAGTCTTATTAGAATCTGGTCACAGTCACAGGTCAAACTTTTGTTTGAAACGACAGCTAGGATCGTTCCATATTGGAATGTAGTAAAAGTTAATCCAATAATCCAGAAAATCCTGGTCTGGGGCCTGATCCATATAGATTGTTGAATGCATCCCCGTCTGGATCGACCAAAGACCAAAGCATAGACCTAAGTTGGAGAAACTTTTTGGGTTGAAATACCTGTACGTAACAAAATCCATAGAATATTGGGTCTACTTCTAAAAGCTTAGCAATTCGATGTCTGTTGTACCAAGAGGTCTCTTGGGACAATGAGTGCAGTAACTATGAATAATCAGTATGTATCATGTTTTAGTGTTTTCGTGGTTATCAATGTAAATGTAATCATTGCATGTATATTCTTCTGTACATTCATAATGTAGTCACATTAAGATTCAAGGTAGTCAACGTGTTCATAGTTTCAGGAAATTACCGAGTTAGTAGTTGTTTCTTATTTAAGGTTTTGCTCGAATAAGCAAGTGACAATAATTTCCTTAAATCTTACTATTACGCCGTCATAGAAATGTTTAAGTAAAAGTCAACCACATTTATATTTCAAGCTTACATGTTTTCCTGGTTTAGTTCACGGTAATAGATATTGTATGTCTATTACAAATTAAAACATTATTTTAATGTTCATATGTTTACTTATTTTTTTCTGATAAAGATTGACACTAGGAGAACTAAAAAATGTTTCCTTGCTTTTATCATCGTGTGCAGAAAAAAATTGTATTGTTCAAGCTTTAACGATTTATTCCGCAATTATCTAATCCGGATAATCATGCATGAAGTTTTTACAAAGACTAATGATGAGGTAATCGTATACTGGGCTTCCATTCATTTTTCTTGAAGTCGGTAATTATAGCCATGAAAAGAGCGGTTTGCAGCTCCAATATCATGCAAAACCAATCACAGGTTTTGTCTCGATGAGGTTTAGTCAGTATCTATCATTCATCTACCCGTACAGGGTCCCGTAGTTTCATAATACCCGTTTTACATTGATAATAAATCATGACTTGAGTTCATGGCCAAATTTCAAAAGTGTAAAACAGGTATTTGACGTCAAATAAATCAATAAGTTCTTCGTGGATTTCTTCACGAAATTAGAACATGATCTAATTTTTGAAAAGTTGGACGTCAAATTTCGTCGTGTCAACCTTGTTTTCCTTTCAATTGTATTGGAAACGTTTTCAGTTCAAGTATAGAACTTTGATAGAACTAGTATTCAACAATACGGTTTCTGTTTATGATATTCGCCACAAGAGACAAAAAAGCTCAAAATATTTCTAGTAAGCATTTGCTGTGTGGTTGGTAGCACTGAGTAATAAGATATAATCATTGAATTTGTCCAATGATGTAAACGCCGCAAAACATCAGGATGACCTTGAAGAAATCCATCTGAATAAACTCTTGAAGAAATTGTTGATGTAAAACGGATATTATAACAAAAAGATTCAACTATTCGACAACGCCATCCAAAATAAATACTGCTTAAATGTCGCAAATTACGATATGCCCCGACTGACAGCAGCAGCAAAACAACAACCGAAGTCCGATGACCGCAGTAATACGAGTACAATGATTTGAGAGTAGTGTCAAGATTTGTAGTCAACGTCTGTTGCCAAATGAAGATGCATTTTTGATGCTACTGGTTGACAGAGTATCTCACAGCACTGTTTTGGGAACTGAAGACTTTTACAGGGGTTCTCAATGGATAACGATTTTCCAACACTGCTTTTGGAAATAGTGGATAATCATATGAAGCCGAGGTACTAGTACATTTGTAAAGAAGTCGTAAAGAACTACTGATATTCGAGTGGTCATTCTCATTCATTTCCTCGGCCTTCCATTTGACGTGACGCTCTTCTAGATAATCCTTGATTATGTCTAACCATCAATTTTTTTGTTTCCCCCAAGTTATCTTCAAGCTTTGGAGCAATCCTAATGTTTTATAGAATCGTCCTGCCATGCTTTCTACATAAACCTGTTCCTAAACATAAACTTTACTTATTAAGAATTAAGCGTATTAAGATGGAAGTCCTGTATAAAAGGTACTTTTTTTAGCTACAGTATCAATTGCTTGATTTGATTACAAAAATATAATTGTATTGAAAATTGAAGGACCATATTCGATTATACACTAATACAAACACAAATCACCTGAAAAGAAAACAAGAAGTTAAATGTTGACCATTAGCATACAGTTGTCGATAAGCGTACAACATTCATGTAAAACCAATTCCAACAAGAATGTACGAACTATCAAATTCAGATCATGAATATAAATATCGCTCACCTTTAAGGTGCTGGACAGGATCTAACGGTGTACCGTCTGCACAGACGATGAAGAACGATGACACAACAAGCAACAACACAACACAAGGAAAAACCCGCTTCATGGACATTTTAACTTAACGTGCAAGGCACATCCGAAGCTCTGTGGCATCTTACCGATGGCCGAACGGAGTGCAGTGGAAATACATCGGGAAACCGCGGCGGTCTCGAGAAAAACACGCGAAAATTGACAGGTGGTTTTGACGATGAAACGGCGTACACCTACTGCGACCACGGCCGAATTCGCACTGTTTTGCGGGTAGCGGACTTGCCAGGCGGAATGTCGCGACGGAGTGGCAGGTCGGCGCCGATGGACGCGGTGTTGCCAGGTCGAAAAAATCACGGATATCAGGATATTTGTCAAGTCGAGGTACATAGATGTATTTGATTCTTTGGAAACGTCAGGGCCCTCAGGGGCGGCTATAACAGAGATGTTGCGCTTTCTAACTAAGACATCAGTCGATTTATCCATTTCATATGTTTGTGTGTCGAATCCATGATTGTAAAATGTGTCTCCTTTGGAGAGATGCCGTATTCCCTCTTTCCCTCTCGTTAAAACAGTTGGAGGACTGGTATAGTAGAGGACAACCCTTTTCGATTCGTTTACATTTTTTCTGCTTCCTTGTGTTACCGACCCGCCATATAGTACGGTCATTATATGATACGGTATAAATAATAATGGAATCTGATTCATCTGTATAAATTATATATTTGAGCAATGTGCAATAACCTAAAAAGACCTAATATGTTAGTTCGATGCAATTGGTGAATCAGCGCGATGTAGCAGAGCGGTACTCGGGAATATATTTTCAGTTCTATGTTCTATGCAGACAATCGAGGTTGACGGACGACGTCTTGAATAATAATTATATGCGATACGAACTTTTTCTGCCCTTTGGAACGATCTGTTCAGGCAGGTCAGCGGCCCACGGATGTCGAAAATTATATGTACAAAGGCGCTATGAATGATGGATATCTTGCAGCAAAGACTTTTCGGACAGTGATACTGTGAGAGCGCATGCTACTGATCGTAGTAACTAGGGCAGCAATGATAGTCAGGAATACCGTCGTATTTTTGAAAGAATGTGCCTGTCTGTTGATGCTCGACAGATTTGCATTAATATTCATAATGGACTGTTACGTGAAATGACGATGTCAAACCAAGAAAATGAACAATTGACAAGGGGACATCTATACCTTCAAGTGCAGCAACAACTGCCAAAATCAGGAACATAGTGTATGATCATTATAAACGTAATGAAATTTCCACAGCAGAGATGGTCCATCGAGAATTGATAGAAAGAGGAGGGAGTTGTTCTCTGCGGAAATTTCAGAGATTTGAAACCAATAACAGTCAACGTTACTTCAACAACTCAATTCAGTCATCTCTCATCTCATCCAGACTTGCAAGAGAAAATGTATGAAAATTTACAGATCCGTCTCTGCCCTCATGCCTCCGGTTCTCGGTTTTATATCCCTATTATTACGATCGGCAAAAAATGTAAACGAATCTAAAATCGTTGTCGTTTACTATCTACTGTCTATGCATGTATACAATATGCTCAAAATTTCCAAAATACCTACATACACGCTCATGCTTGGAAGTGAGGTTAGAGGATACTCACAGCTAACGCACCTGAAACCTTTTAAGGATAACAAAAATGAAGAAACTCCAATAGGCGCACAAATACCTACAACAACACCAAAAATAGATATGTACAATGTCTAGTTTAATGAAAAAAACGCCGAGCCGCCATCAGATTTTCTTGCAAATCCATCTCCATATTGCAATTTATTGGTCTTATTAACTGATTCACACAAATATAATACAGAAAATTTTAAAAGGACCGACGATGTGTACATTGAACATACTATTATTTGATGCGGTTCAGAGGACTGAGGACCCCCTATGCCAAGGACGAAAAAGCATTGTAGTTTTTTTAAAATTGGATCTATTTAAAAAAAATTGTATGCGCTGGAATTCGTGGACTTGGGATTATAAGGGTCGGTAGATTACACATTTTTGATGTTAGTAAATTGATACACTCCAAGCCTCGGTAGTTCTATGCACCTATTAGCCATACTTCTCACTTCGTAGATTTTCCCATACATTTTTCCTGGTTGCGTGCCGGTCTCGGTAAGTACTGTTGTGGAACTATTTTCCCGTGCATTTGCCTTTAAAACTTAGAATGATAGAGGAATCTGCTATCTAAGCTCACCAACCGGCGTACCGGCCCAGCTAAGTAATCTATCCATACTGCAGCGCACAAAACATATACACGGAACAAACGGTAACTCGCTGCAGCAGTGGCACGGTGGGCGCTGCCGCGCAGATGTGGGAAGGGGCAACGTTGCCAGATGGACAGTAACTGCCGGTAGGGCAGAGAAAGAATGTCTATGGACTAGTTGTATGTACCTGTTTGACTGACTTGATCCGCTTAATCGCCCTTTTATACATGTTCGTAACGGACTTTTTTCTAAGAGAGGTTTAAATTGCGCTGAACTGATGATGGCGTTGCGTAGGTAGTGAAGAGTCAACCTACTCGACACAATTCTTTACTTCCCACGCCTACTATCGGATGAAGTTATTGTAAGCACTAAAAATTTCGAAAATGAGATATGTCTTTTGGACGTTATATGACATGCACATCACGAAAAAATTGCCATTCTATTCCGTCGGTCTGGTTGTTCGCTAATCCTTGGCCCACGTACAACTTGGAAAGTACTGGTCGGATTTGGATAAAATTTTTACACACGGTTACTATTATGCTTACTGCTATGCCAAGGACAAAATAGTTTTAGTTTTTGAAAATAAGTCCTGTGGCAGCTAAGAAAAAGCCCAAAAACGGAAAAACCTACAAATTAAACAAACTTCTTTTTTCGACGTTTCAGACAAACCTGTCCATTTTTTTTTTTAAATCAGTGATAAAAAGTTGAGAGATGTACGGCGTAAGGGAGGGTATATTTCAATTGTGTATGTCATGTATTAATACATTCCCAACCCCGGCAATTCTGCGCACCTATCAAGCCGCGTACAGACCGAAAATTCAGCCCCGAGCAAACGAATGCAAGCACATGTGACGTTAGCGTTTGTTGTTGGAAGGTATTGAATGCGCTCGTCTACACGTCGTCTGCATCTCCTAAATTTAGTTTCTAGTTGGACCGCGTTGGGCTAAGTTCGGTGCTAATGTCGAGCGAGGAGTATCCTCTCATCGAAAGCAGACAAACGATCAAATACTAGAAGCGCAACAAATCTTGTCCAGACCAAATCAAACCCCAATATGATGTACCGGATAAAGAAGCGAACGCCAACGCCGACCTTCGAAACCGTTGGCTTATGATGGCCCGCGCCGTACACACCGATTCGAACATCTCCAAATCTGTAACCACATATGCCTTGGCTTGCGATGGAATGTCGGTCTGTACGCGGCTTTAGACATATTTCACATCTCAGATTTGCCCGCACATTTTCCATCAAGTCATACAAATATTTTCAGTGGGCAGATCGCCTATCGAGGTTCTTTATATTACATCGAAAACGAAACACGCATTTACTGGCAGCTCAGTTTTTTTTTGGAAAAACGCTCAGACCCATCCATTTTGTTTTCGATGGGGACACAAGTTTGGCAAAAAATCACGTTAACACGTGCAGCCCCCTGGGCGGGGGTGACACCAACCCTAAAATCTTAAATGGAAAGGGGGGTCCAGTGATACCTTATTTTAAAGGTCTTTCAATTCCCTTTATAATGATGTAAAATACATGAGCTTCAGTTCAGTAGTTTTGAAGATTTATTGATTTAAAGCTTAAAGTAGACTTTCAAAGCTGCTACACACAGTGCCGGCGGCAATGCCGCCGGGTTTATGCCGAGCGGCTATGCCGCCGGCAATACAGGCCGCCGGTACAAGCCGTCAAGCATCATTCCGGTTGTGACAGTCACATAGAAAGCTAGTGAAGTGCTGCATTTCTGGGATTCCATAATATATCATTTTCATAAAATTTTTCAATTAAGAGCAGCACAGCTTCGTCGTCCCAATTAAACGACATTTTAATTTGTTTAAACACACAAACCGCAAAACACTACCGCTCGAATGCCAGGAACGAAGTGACGCCGGCAAGCCGCGTAACCCGCCGGCACACCATTGCGGCTCCTTTGCGCGGCAAGGCCGGCGGCTTTGTATGCCGCCGGGTGTACGGCGGCTTAGCCGGCGGCCCTGCCGCCGGCTCTGTGTGTAGCAGCCTTAATAGGTACATCAGATTAGTTTGTGCTACTTTCAGAAGAAATTTGACTAAAAGAATTTACTTAATAAGTAAATGCTTTTCTTCACCACGCCCATGGTTTGTTCATCATTTTGTTGTTGAAAATAGCTATTAGAGCGTTTTTTGTGGCAAAAAAGTTATTTCTTGAAGAAAGATAAGGAAATATCTTGTACTTATTTTAAATAGGAATTTAGTACATAGTTTGCGATTGATTTGACCAAACTTTGTTGCTAAAATAACTTGTAACGCTTTATTACATAAATTAACCAAGGTACATTCTACAGCAGAAAGAGTTGACATTATATCGAAATATTTTTCGGAAATAATCAGTGCGCTAATAGAACAGCAGAAATATTTAATGAGCGACATGAGAACAGTAACGTGCATCGAAAATATGTTCTAGAACTTGTAGCTAAATTTCGGGAAACTGGGTCAGTCGCCAATAAAAAACGCAACATTGAAAATCCCATAAGGAACGAAGCAATAGAAGTGGGGGTTTTAGGGCAAGTTTATGTAGATCCTACGTTAAGTACCCGCAAATTGGAGACTGTGTGTGGTGTTAGTCTACGTACTGTCCAACGGATTCTAAAGGCCCATAGTTTTCATCCGTATAAAATTCACCTGGTACAAGAACTTAATGAAGACGATTTTGATCGGCAGTTACAATTTTGTGAAGATATCAGTGAACGAATTATAAACGATGAACATTTTCTATTCAACACTTGCTTTTGGTCCGATTCTAATCCCAGAATTTATCAAGAGGTTCATACACAGCAGCCACATCCTCGACGGGTCTGAGCGTTTTTCAAAAAAAACTGAGCTGCCAGTAAATGCGCCTGTTTCGTTTTCGATGCACCACCCTGTATAATATTGCATTATCAATCATTGTTGACAAAGCAGTTTTGCACCAGAGCTCCAAAAAAATAAGGCTCCTGTGTACGGACACACTCATTGCTGTAATCTGAGAAAGTTCTTTTTCCATGAAAAGTCCAAATGGTGCATTGCTGGGTCTGACAAAACCAACGTCTTTTTGAAGTCATTGTACTGCATGTAAAATTGTACTAGAGGTTGTTTCGAAGGCGTGGGGAGCATAGGGTCAATCTTCTTGACTCCATTTTTCCCTAAAGCATCAACAATGTGTAATGATAAGCTCGACAGTGGCACTCCACTCCCAAAATTTTGGTATCCGGGATAGAATATCTTTTCCGGTCGTTAAGGTGAGGGGGGGTTATTGCTTGGAACTTCCTTGAGTTGCTTCTGCACGACAAATACTGGTGTTGTCCAAGGTCCGCCATCACAAATCTGTATGGGTAAATGAAAAATCGCATCGCAAATATGTAAGTTTTATTGGGAATTGCTATTATATCTGCTCCATAATAATATTAACAATGAAAATATAACTAATAATAAGCATTTTACATAGACAAATCGTGCAATGTCATATAACAATAGTACCAGCCTAAATAATTTCAGGTATGCATTCAATATTTTTCATTTAATTTACTAGGTGCTTAGATACAAATTATAATAAAAATATATTTTTCAAAGTAAGAGTTGATAGGTAAACAAAGTATATAAAACATCCCTTAATTATGCTAAAATTGTATTAAGGTCTAATATCGATTCTTCTCACACTTGGCAGCTAGGAATGACAGTCTAATTTGTTATGAGGAAAAGGCAACTATTTTGGAAACAGTTTATATTTTAAATATTGCATTATGTCTCAGTGTACCGGGTCGATTCATTACTTCGAGAAGGAGACACGAAGATATCCTTAAATCTTCGAGAGAACGATAAATATGAATAAAAATTATATTTTGGAGACTCGGGGCCGTGTTGGATGGACACACTTTTTGTTCAAGAATCGCGAGAAGTATGTCGGCTGCGAATCCTACGATACAAAACATCAAAATACATTGTCAGCAGTAAACAAATCTAATTCATAATATTATTTTGTTCAACAAAAGCAGTTCGAGGTGTAACAGATATGCAAAAAAGGATCACCGCATTATGTTTTAGTCAAATATATAAATATGTCGTTTTCCTTACGAATTAGTAGATAAATATTGCATTTGATAACTGAGTATGGCAGACTGGAATAGAGATACCCAAAATGGTTGCTAAGTGACACTCGTCGGAGCTTCAATGCTTTTTTAGGAAAGAGTAAAGGCCTGCTCATTTTAGAATGAAGTAATATTTGTTCCAGTGACAACGATCTTTTATTCTTAGTCTAAGAATTCTGTCGAAGTTTTTTTTTTATTTTTTCATTTCGAAGGAATATGGACAGCTTACTTCCAAAAACTATATTAGAAATATTTTTAATAAATATCTCTTTATTTTTCTCTGAAATATCAAAGCTTGCCTGAAATTTATAGCAGTATGTCATAAATCCTGGCAGAATCAATTTTTTCATGCCCTGTCCTAGAATACTACTTCTACCGTTGAGATTAGACTTCAATCAGTTATGTGGAAAATATCCTTCAATCTCTAACGTTATGAGTTTCACATGTAATGTTTTATCGATATACCGAGATAAAAAACAAATCCTAGGGGCTAATTGAAATGATTCAATCGGCGGGAAACAAGAGTTCTCTTCCAATATACGAATTTCTAATATTTTTTTTCAACGATAAATCGCATCATGCTTGTTAAAAGTACATTTGTCCAGATAGGGAATACTCCATTATGTTAAAGTTTCTATTAACGTGTATGATGACATACATATCAAGTAACCTCCGTCCAACATGACCCCAAACCCACTTGTAATCGATTAAATTATCTAATAAATAAATCTTTATTTGCTTATGCTAATTTAGACACAGGGTTCGACATAGTTGCCAGGGAAGAGCCCTGTAATTCCATCCATAACTCCCTCCCACCATCCATCGTCGTTCTTTTTCAATACGTATATGACAGCGCTTTCCTGAAAACTCAGCTCGTCGTCCTTGTCTGCGTAGTAATCGTAGATGGCGACGACTGAAAAAAATAATCCCTCAAGATGCTGTTCGATGCAGAGACAGCGACTGGACACCGCGATCGGCAACCAAACCTGAGACTCATGCAGGAAACATCACTGTCGCAATGTGACAGTGAAATATTCAAATTTTCGGTCGCCAATCGTGACCTCCTGTCGAGTAGAGCTAGATAAATTATCACCAAAAAGCTATGACTAACCTTTTATGATGCAGTTCTTAGGCTTCAATGAGCGACCGCTTCCGATGGCTAAACTATGATATCCTATGTAATCCACTTCATCCGGCAAGATAAGAATCAAACCTCCGCCACCTCCCGCCCCCGTACAAACTACCCTAACCCTGCCCGCACCCATGATGACTTGAAAAACAGCATAACAATCCTATAACCTACCTTTCTCCATGTAGCTCTTTGGTTCTCATCTGGTCAGCTCCCCTTAGTTCGGTAGGGTAAACATCTCACCACCACCGTATTCCGCCTCCATACCGACTCGCACCCTGCACGACCAATGATGCCTCAACACCATACCGACTCACCCAACCATGATGACTTGACAAACAGCATAACAAACCTATGACCTACCTTTTTCGATGTAGTTCTTGGGCACCCATCCAGGCAGATCCTCTTCGTCCGGCACGATGGGCATCACACCACCGCCGCCTCCACCACCGCCCGCCCCCATGGCGGCCACTCTCACCCTGCCGAACCCTTCATGTTCCTCGTCTTCGGGTGGCGGAGGCGGTGGAAGGGGAGGAGACTGACCGCCCGCCCCAGAGGACTGACGTTGCGCGGCCATGTGGGCGGCAAGTTGCTGGGAGATGCGGTGACCCTAGAAAAAGAGAAAATTGTTATCCATAGAAAGTCATGTAGATCCACTATACACTATAGCTTTATTCGTTTTGCATTGTTTTCAACGGTTTATAAACTACAAGTTTCCCTGTCTGCATATTACTTGCTAGATTCATTTGGTGAAAAAGCAGGTAGTACGTGATGTGATATGCACAGACGAGGTGGACGCAATATCATCTATATATACGAGCATTATGCTTGGAGTGTAATTTTATGAGGTTACTTGATAGTATATGCACACAAGTATAGTATATAATATATAGTATATAAGTATGTATCAAGAGCTATTAAAATCAGGTATCAAACATGGTTGACAAACAGTTGTACACCGGAACTCCAAAGAAATGACGCTACCGTGTACGGCACGCTATTATAAATAGTGCACTAATGGTGAAAGTTTCACGATTCAGGCGACATTAGATGGTTGAACCAGTCCCTATTTTACCTTGATTAGATAAAGAAATAAGATGAGCTGTTTCATTACAATGGATCAGTTTCCTGGAAAAATCCTGGAAAGCATACAACTATAAAAAAATATCGCACCTGTGCATGAGACAATGTATGCATCCCAAGTGACCCTTGAGGTACTGGAGCATGCTGAGTCTGCATGAATGGATGCTGAGGTGGAACAGATTGATGCTGCAGCTGCTGGTGTTGTTCTTGTTGTTGCAGTAGTGGTGATGGTGGCGCTAAAAAAAATAGTAACGTACAGTATTCGGAAATCCTAGAACTCCGAACTTTATTAATAATTCAGCCCTAGACAGACAATGATTGTTATTTGATCACGTCATGCCTTTTGTGGAGATTTTATCCAAGGTCCGATGTTATCGTGTTTTTAGGGTTCTTGCGGTTTATCAATCGCACTGGGAATCTTAAAAGACATTATCGCGAAAATCAATTTTTAGCATACTACGACCATTTATTATTAATCCCTCTTTATCTATATCTAACTATAAGTTATCATTAATGAAGATGAACAGTTTATACGAAATGTGGTGGAAGAGAGTTAAGGAATTATCAAGTTATCCTGAACAATAATAAGTGAACACAACTATAATAATTTATCTAGCAATGATGAAAAATGAACTCCAATAGTGGATAGACTAAAAAATCATAACTCGATTACTGGAGTGGCGCAATTTTACGCTTCTAGTATAAAATAGCAAAAATTAAAGGGTTTGGTGTTGAAGCAAAGTGCAAACTGAGAGATGGGGTAATATTTCCAGAGTGGCGGTAATTTGCACTTGAATTGTACACAATACTTTTTCTAGCTTCACAGCAATTTACTCTTTTTTATGGTCATAAAACTGATTTGAAACCAGGAATATGTAGCATTACTATAGCAACAATTTAGCAACATGAAATCGTTGACCTGATTGCAACTCATAAAATGATGGCTGTCGATGTAGCTGTTATTTGCAGTCCATGCTCGGAAAAATTCTGTGTGTGAGACTACGAGAAATAACAGGACCTTTTACAGTCGGTTGTAGATAAAAGTCATTTCCTTTATTATAAGAACTATTAGTTACAACTTAGAGAAAAGCACAGCCTTAAACAGTTACTTTGCATTCTTTGAAAGTATATTGAGATGCAGCATTCCCTTTTGGTGTGTCTGTTCTCAAAACTATTTGAAAAAAATATTTATTCAAAAACGATCTGTTAGATATATAACTAAAAGCAGTCCTAGAGCTACATGCAGACCTTTGTTTTTAAATCTCGAAATGATGACTGTCGTATTATTGTTTATTTTTGAAACAGCAACTCTTACTTTTTTAAATAAATATAAATTTGAGACAAATATACGAGTAAATTACGGTATGAGACAAAATCTTAAATTAGTAGTACCTAAATCAATCTTTGTGAATTTGTGACTCAATCATTTGGTTTGAAAATTTACAATTACTTCCCTAATGATATCAAAAGAATCAATATAAGATATTTCACTGTGAGCTTAAAAGCGTCCTTATTTGTAGACCATATTATACCATGTATGAGTTCTATTCATTTACTTGAAATCCACATATGTAATTTGGTTTAGTTTTAAATTAGCTTTCACATTAAGAAGGATTGTATTCTTCAGACAAAGCATATGTATCTACCTATAAGTTGAATACTTACGTGGCATACTTAAATGTCCTTCTCCATACCCGCCTCCACTCTCCCTTTGCTGCGGCTGTTGCTGCTGTACCGGATGTACCATTCCGACCTGTGGCTGTTGTTGCTGTCCGCCTCCAGTCATCGGCAGCGTGCCGTAGCCCGCTCGATCGCCACCCCCACGTCTGGGATGGCCGAGAGGGTAATTGGGGGCGTAGTGACTGGGCACTTGGGGCGGCGCAACGGCGGGAGGGGTGCGGTACTCCCGGCTGCCTTTGCTCAGGGTGCCCGTTGAGACTAGAAGTAAAAAAGTAACTGAGAAATGATAAAAGCAGATTATTGCACCCGCCACCAGTCAACTGCAGCGTGACCTAGCTCGGTCGCCGACCCGCGTTCGGATGATCTAGCAGCTAGTTAATGTTGCTGCCAGTTGAAACTGGAAATGGAAAAAGGTAGATAGGTTCACCATCCTTCTATCCATTGTGTGCTTTTGGTTGATTGAATAATTACTGTATTAATTTATGGGTTACTCACTAAACCTCCTAAAATAACCATTGTGCACCCTAACACATAGCCAAAAATACACATTAAGATCCTACCTCACTAGTACTGCATGGTTATATTCCTAGCAACTATACTAATCTATTAAAATATATATATAAAGACGATTATTATTATTATTATTATTATTATTATTATATATATATATATACAAGTACTGGGTGGTGATAATTTGGTGGTGACAAAGTATTTGAAGTAACCCAAGATCTGAAGAATAACCTGGTACTGAGTTTACCACATACCTTTGCTAGATGTTCTAGATACTTGAGGTGGTGTAGGAGGTTTGGTAGTAGGAGCAGGTCCAACCATGTTGCCTGACATTGAATTCAATGACTGGATACTTCCTTGACTGGAACCCCTTTGTTTTTGCCTTGGTGTACCTCCACTCCTGACACCGTGTCCAATGTCATCAAATACTATAAAAAATCAACAAACTTGTTAATACCAATCCTGCTAGAAATCGCTAGTTCTTAATTTCATAAGAGCTGCAGTACTACAATATTCATGTTTTGTCTTAAGATTGCTAGGATATAAAGAAGTCTGTATATATCTAAATATCATGTTTTTTTCAAAAAACCAAAACACTGAAACTATTTGATGAATTTAATAGTTATTGATACATGAAAACTAATTTTGTACTTAGCAGAAAAACTAAGGTTACATTAAGAACTGACAGATTATGACATTTAAGATAATGTTGATTTAATTGTTTTTTATGAGCTAAATGAAAATATCTCTTTATAATCTATATATCAATTCCAACAAATATGAAGATAAGGTGAAAAGTTCTCTGCCTGATCGGGTGCACATGTCATAAAGTATTTTTCTTGAGTATCCATTATGTTTTGATGTCTATTGAGGTAAACATAGCTTATCACCAAGTAACATCTTTGTATTAAAGTGTTATAATAATAATAATAATAATGAATAAGTGTAAATTGGGTAAAACTCAGGTCCATATTCAAAACTGGTCGAAACTCAAAGACTAATTATATTGTGGTCTTCCTACCTGACTTGAAATATAGTCATAGCATTTTTTCTTGTGTGTGAAGTATCTTTTTTAAATAAAGCAGTATAAAACCATGGTGTACAAAAGACCACAACGTAATATGACTCTGTCTATAGATCTAGTATTGACAGACCTGCCAGAATTATGTCACTGGTAGATATGGGGAATTTTGAAATATTACTAGGTAATCAGCTGTTATTTGCTGTCACACTTCACACAATGGATACTGTTGAAAAATACTTTATGTATGACAGATTCCAACTTGTTTTCTCAAGTAATTTATCTACATGAAAAGGGAATGTCTTGCATGGGTTTCATTAAGATGGTAAAACTCGAATATTGTAGTATCCTCATATTCTTCATGTTGGATTGATGAAGGTCCACAATATCATGATGGAAATGGGTAAGATAGCTGAGACTATGGGGATATGTGAAAAAAGTTGCAAAGCACCTCACACATTAAAGTGGCCAATCAAAATGGAATGCACAAATAACTGATTTTATGGATCCAATGAAGCAGTTGACAGGGCTATAGATGAATATTTTGTCAGCCTTCCATACTCCGACTACCAAGAAGCAATCATAATGTTAGGCAGATGGACCAATTGTATTGAGGATGAAGAAGAGTAAAAAAATGAAATCATTTTTCAACTGAAAATTGCAGTATTTCATTAATAAGATAATAATTGATCTTCCTACCATCATCTATCATTATCAATAACAATCTGGCAACTCAATTGGGTTGTTGTATGCCTTTTCAGATTTGAAGAACTCCTTACAATTGCTAAGTTATCAAAGCTATGAGTTTGTCTAGGTTTGGATTGGCTTGAGACTCTATGCAATTATTCTAAACTTACTTGTATAATCAATTGGCTTCCTTAAATATTTAATTGGCTTTTCAGGGTTTGCAGGTGCAATAATCTTATACTGCCTATTTGTACTCTTGTTAGCTGTTAACACACCAATCTCTCTTCTTGCTACCTTTTCCTTATGTATCATGACAGTTTGTGAAATGTGATTCATTTGGCTCTCCATCTCTGCTAACTGGGCTGCTTGCAGTTCCAACAGTTGCAAGAAATTATATGCTAATGTGTTGATCTGATAAGCAACACTAGCCAAGGATTGTGTGGTGTAATTTTTCGTTTCTTCCAGTGCCAATCGTTTGTTTTCATTTTGAAAGTAATTGGCTTCACAGTATTCAGCCACTCGTTGAAGATTTGTGTGGTTATCTGTGAGGTTGCTGCGACCCTCGGGAATTTCGGATCGTAGCAGAGCTGCTAACTCCGCCATTGCGTCGCAGTCGCTTACCACCCCAGACTCTCTACTCGGGCTCCCTACGGATTCCAAACATGAATATATACACCACAGGATATACTACTTATCAAATATGGATACATACCTTGGGCGTAATAAGCACTCATAATATCGATTCTGGTAATTTTCCTGACATGCTCGTGGCCTAGACACTATTAGCAGCGATTCATAAACAGTATAAGCTAATTGTTTCTGCGATTTTCTGTAACATACAATACTCTGCCACAAATTATTTGGAATTTGGCACACCTCAAGTTAAATAACCTCAAATTTCTACATTGACAGCCGTTGACGATGGTGTTACGCGACGTTGCCAGTGCAGATCACATAGTAGAAGAGTTCCCCGTTAATGAAATGGTTCATTTTCTATCCTACTATAAATACAAGGCGGACTTTTAGGAGTCTTGATAGGAGCAGGGGCGCGGTGGTGGTCGCAGGATTCATGCTCAGAAAGATGTGCGTCTTGGGCTCCCTGATTGAAAATTGGTGAACGATGGTAGGAAGGGTGCGGTTTGCTTAAACAGCGCTTTTGAAAGCAAATTATGCCTTTAGTCGAATTCTTTGCGCGAACCGTTCTCTTTCTGATTGAGATACATAGAAATGACATATTGTTTTGACAATGATTACGAATTGCACGGGTAATATGAAGCAAACCTAAAAAACATCAAAAAAGAAACCGACTAAGGTAGTTTTTAGTTCATTCCACGTTTGCTCGCTATGATCACTATTCGCTGACGTTTAAGCAACACGTACCGCTCCAAAACGAATTCGCAACAAGTGTTATATTTAAAATCCTACGAAATGTCAAAAACCGACGAAATGTCACTTTCTAAGATACGCAATATCCGTGCGGTTCTGGTAATGACTTAATTAATGACGTTTTGAGACTTGCAATCGAATGTGTCGTTTCTGAATTTGCTTTGGACCGACAACTTTTCAGATTTTTTTCGAGGTTTCTAGACTTATAGAACATGAAATTGAAACAGTAAATACTACGTATATTATTGCTCCATTTTTGCAATTGGTTGACTTTAGATTAGAACCACCGCCAAAGGATTTCCTTTTCTATTACTATTGAGTAGTTTGAGAGCGGTGGGTAGGAAACCGTCTAGGCGGGCTTGAGGGGCGCATGTCCCACGATTCAGGTCTATCAAGGTTATTTGTAAGATTGATGCTTCAAAAAGTAAGTGCTAAGTAATCTTGCATTGGCTGCTTCAGCAGTACGCTCTTTCAGTACTTTGCGATGTTTGAAGACCCAACTTCGTATAGTACTATGACACAAAAACGTGTGACTCACGTCATGCCCCTTCATATCTATGAAGAAATAATTGTTTCTTTGCGAAAATCATCCGGTAAAGTGCAAGCATGGGATATATATAATAAATAATACAAAATAAAGCTCATGTCCATTTTACAGTATTGTCTCAAAAGTGTTTTTATAGCGAGCCCACCGATGAAAAATTTCGAACCGACGGATCTGGGGTCACGTCTATCCTACTACCTACCACTGAAGCTGCGACGTGGACACTGCACGCAACTTGACACTGGCATAAAATAGATTATCGTGTAGAAGTATTTCTGGATTTTGTCAAAAGTCAATTATTCCAGAAACAAGGGGAAAATTCAGTAGACTTGGCAATGCGGAGTAGTTGCATTGACGGCACGCTGACGGATTGCGCGTGCTGTCACGTCTTGTTTGACAACTTTGTCAAAATACAAAATACCAGAGACAAACAAGAATTTCCTTTGCAGTTGAATTTGATGTTGAAATTTATCTTTTTATGTGTAATGTAGACCGGTATTCCTTATTGTCGGGAAGAATACATAGCTCAAACGTAAATAACACTAAAAACGTCCAAGATGAATGTGATCGCAGCAGTCAAAGCATATGTGAATAAAATGACTGAAGAGAGTGAACCTGGCATGAAAGTACTTTTGATGGATAAGGAAACCACAAGTATTATTAGCATGGTATACGGACAGTCTGAGATACAACAAAAAGAAGTTTTTCTGTTGGAGCGAATTGACTCGCCAAATTATGCCAACTCTACAGGACTACGTTATCTCAAATGTTTGGTGTTTCTGAGACCAACACAACAGAATATTCAAGCTTTGTGTGCTGAGTTGCGCAATCCAAAGTATGGTGCTTATTATATATACTTCAGCAACATCATTGCAAAAGCTGACATCAAGATACTTGCAGAACATGATGAACAAGAAGTAGTGAAGGAGGTACAAGAATTCTACATGGATTATTTGGCGGTGAATCCCCACCTGTTTTCTATTGGCTTGCCTACATGTATGCTCTCTGGTAACTGGAACCCATCTGCACTTCAAAGAACAGTACAAGGTATTGTATCTGTTCTTCTATCATTAAGAAAATGTCCAACCATTCGGTACCAAGCAAATTCTGATCCTTGTAAAATACTAGGCCAAAGAATAGATGAAGTAATAAATAAAGAGTCCAGTTTATTCTCTTTTGGGCAAAGTGGTCACTCTTTACTCCTCATCTTGGATCGCAGAGATGACCCAATGACCCCACTACTAAACCAATGGACTTACCAGGCAATGGTACATGAGCTGTTAACTATAAACAATAATAGAGTAAATTTGTCTAATGTACCAGGAATACCAAAAGAAATGACTGAAGTTGTTTTATCAGCAGAGCAAGACGGATTTTATGCTAGGAATATATTTATGAATTATGGTGAAATAGGAACAAGCATAAAACAACTCATGGATCAGTTTCAAACTAAAGCAAAAAGTCACCAAAAAATTGAATCTATTGCTGATATGAAGAACTTTGTAGAAGCATATCCACAGTTTAAAAAACTATCTGGAAATGTAGCAAAGCATGTAACAGTTGTAGGAGAGCTTAGTTCGATGGTGAACAAATACAACTTGCTAGATGTTTCTGAGGTAGAACAAGAAATCTCCTCTCAGGCAGATCACTCAGCACATCTACAGAGTGTCAAAAAATTGATCAACAATGACAAAGTTCGGGAAATTGATGCTGCAAAACTGGTCATGTTATATGCCTTGAGGTACCAGAATCACAGCAACAATGATGTGAAAAGCCTAATGAGCATATTGAAGAAAAGAGGCGTGTCTGACTCACTTCTCAAGAATACTGTCAACATTTTGGAATATGCAGGATCTCATGCTAGACAAAGTGATCTCTTCAATGTGGAAAATGCTGTGAAGATAACAAAAAGGTTCATCAAAGGATTGAGTGGTGTAGATAATGTCTATACTCAGCATAAACCAGTACTTCATGAAACATTGGAAGAATTGATGAAGGGAAGATTAAAGGAACAGCTTTATCCCTACATTGGCAATGGTTACAATAATGGAAGATACCAAGACATCATAATTTTCATTGTTGGTGGAGCCACATATGAGGAGTCTTTGACAGTGCATTCATTTAACAAAATTAATTCACCCAGCGTTAATGTTTTACTTGGAGGTACAACAATCCATAATTCTGCAAGTTTTCTTCTAGAGGTAGAACAGGCAATGAGGAATGTTGAAAGGACGCATACCTAGCATATTTGAAATGTTACATTTCATTAAAAACAATTGTATTTTCTGTATATAAGTGTATTTAAATGAGAAACATTCCTGTATTGAAAAATATGTCAGGGTGAGATTGTATGTGTAGAAGCCAAAGACATTATTAACTGATTTGCATATGCTACCAGAACTATGAATATTGATGCTGTTTCAAAATTCCAATCAAGCCAAGAAATTGTATTGTAACCATACATTAATTACAAATAGGAACTAATTTATTTGAATAGCTATAAATCCAAACTATGTATAATTATTATAAACAAAATATATTAATTATATTATAAAACGTTTGTGCTCTTTGGACTGTTGATATAATGGATAACAGCTTAAAAAAACTAAAAAAAACTTTTATAGCTAACTGAACTAAAAAGTAGAAAAAAATTTTTAATTACAAAGAATTCATATTACAGTAGTAGATGATCGAACAATCAGTCAAAATTAATGACCTCAAAATAAAATTATAATAAAATTTAAGTTATTAACAGAATAATTCAATTCAGAGTAAAAAATGAGTGGTTCATTTTACTAAATTTTCATAACTCTCCTGTCATAGATAGTTGCCAATAGAATGATTGTAACATTTAATAGGTATATCAAGCACCCCACGCTTTTTACTTTAAATTGAATTATTCTGTTAGTAACCTAAATTTTATTATAATTTTATTTTGAGGTCATTAAATATGATTGATTGTTTGACCATCTACTACTATAATATGAGCTCTTTTCAATTAAAAATTCTTTTCTACTTTTTAGTTCGGTTAGCTATAAAAGCGTGTTTTTTAGTTTTGTTAGGGTAACAACACACGAACTGCGGCGGATGGCGGTCACGCGGATACTGATTTGTGTAGGAATAATTGGCAAACACCTCACTGGCAACCGCGGACCCGCGGTTCTTGACGTGTACAGACGTGGTAGAGAGACGACTCACGACAACGCATGTTCGCGCGGCTTTATTATTGATAGATAGAAAATTTAGAATTTGATATGATGAGTGTGTTTAATGATAATAAATTGGGACCTTTATTTTATTTTAATCCTTCAAATGGTATACCATAGCTTGTTATATATAAGGTAATAATGAATAAGACTTTATAATTACAATTTTTTTGATCGTATTAAAGTCCTTCTCTATCGACTAAATTCAAAGCTTTGCTGTTTACCAAATTTTGTTCCGTAAAATAAATAGATTGAAATTTATGTTCTGATCATTTTGTTTGCGAATATGAAGCTTTTTTTGAATCACGGTTATGAATATTATATAAACAGTAATTCGCGTGTATTGGACTCATTAGTACCTACGTATAAGGAATGAACAACGTGAGAATGCACTAGCTTGAAAAGTATCTGCCTCCGTTGTGCTGTGCCGAGTGTCCGAACCAACAAAGAGTAAGTCCGAAACTGCATGATCTATAAAAGAATTTATCAATCCTGGCGGTCCTAATAAAGATAATGGAAAACTGTTACCAAATTATTGCATTGTCATCGGTCTTTGATACGTCTGCGAAGTTTCAAATTAATGAAACTTCTGGAAATTGGTGAAAATTATTCTCAAAGATTCCGCTACATACATACATACATACAGGCCAAGCTTGTAAAAAGCGTGTTAATAATTAAAAAAAGGACCATAAAAATCCAGTTTTTTATCTAATATCAAAAATACTCCCAAATGGCAACCAGTATTGCACAATCGTGCTGAGTGTGATGAATAATAAATCTTCATCTTCACTTAAACTTAACCATACTTTTTCAAGGAAACATAAGGAAAACTGGAAATCTCTTCAATGAAAACTAATTGAATAGTAAAAGACTGATGAAAATAGAAAACATGATTTTACGAAAGATTACACGAATTCAGAAGACTAACGTTGTATTTTATAGTACGAAACCAGCCCAACAAGGTAAACTGTACAGTAATACAGTCTTTCTTCCAAAAACAAGATTTCCTCTCAGGCTAGAAAATAACAAACTCTTAGAAAGGGATGAGGCCATACATAACGTACGTATAAATTATAGTTACCCATTAAAAACTTGTAACATTCCATTATTACAGTATTTTGACTTTGCTTTATTATGATGAGGATTTTTGCTTCTAGACTGCAGATTTTGAAAATCTCTATACTTGGCAAAGGAGCCATTTATCAGAACCAGAATTTGTCTTGCATGATGGCCCACCTTACGCAAATGGACAGGCTCATATGGGACATGCTATCAACAAGGTAATTAAATTCCGATTTGCATTTTGATTTATAAAATTAATAGTGTTTTTTGTAGATTTTGAAAGACACCATACTCCGATGTCATATTATAAGTGGGAATAAAGTTCATTATATACCAGGTTGGGACTGTCATGGACTTCCAATTGAACTGAAAGCTATTTCAGATAACAAAGATCTGGATCCTATACAAATAAGAAAGAAAGGTATTTTGCCAAATATTGATAGCAGTTTTTGAGGATATTGTTCAAAATAACCTTTAAGGGAGAATTCAAAGGAACTATGACAATTTCTAAACTAGACATTCAGGAGCAACTGGGATAGATGCCTTGAAGCTTTTAAGGGTCTCAGAGCAGAGAAGACATTTAAAGTCAATCATCCAGATGATCCGTTTTTGTTCTGTTTCTGTTTACCAGATATCTGATGAAGTTGCATTTATATCATTGTTCACTGTATCATAATGATGATAGCATTGAAGCTGATGATTCTTGACATGCAGTTAGATACCTCTGCTTTATGTAACATCTAGTTCTAGCAGCTTTACAAAAAGTTGCCTTAAACATATTCTGGTGAATTTGGGTTAGACACACAAACATATTTAATTAGACAAAGGTTGTTATCAATAATCGATTAGATGGATGTTAAAAAAAGTGATAGAAGTTGACAAAAAACATATTTGATGTAATAGAAATATATAATTTATTACTGTCTGCACCAATAAGCTCATAATAAACTGAACTGATCATTTCAAAAAGCTGTTATCCTTTTTGCTGAAAATGCTTGTCTATTCTGGGTGTTATCTCAGTCAATACATTTCTTCCTCTTGAAATAATGCTGCATAATAAAAGTTGATTGTATAAACAATATTAGTGAAGTTGGTGAATGTAACATCTGAAACGTATCTTTTAAATGTTTTGCTGATCAGTCTTTATATTTTGCTAGCTTCCAAATGAAATCACACACAAAGAAGTGAATGTTTACCAACGTTTGGTCACCTCAGTGACTTTTTCAAAGTACAGTGTATTGTCGTTGTCACCTTGAATTGAATTTGTCATTTTAAAATAAAATTGTGCAAAATTGAAACTTGTGAGACATCAATAAGTTATTGTTTGGATGTAATTTCCAATAATAAGCATTAAAAACTATTATTAATATGATTTTTTTGCCTAAATTGTATACCACTTGCTTGCTAAAACAACAAGTCAAGAACAGTTTTTAAAAGTAATTTCGCTTTGTCTGTTGATAAACCGTGTAGGTTATTTGACATATTTGCAGTTTTGAAAATTCAATAATTGCTATATTGAGCTCAAAAATGTCATTTAAATATTGTTCATTTGTGAATGTCTCAATTATTATTGGTTCTTCTCAGTTCAAATTGTGTGACTTATGATGTTTTCAAAATATTTTTGACAAAAACAGTTCCACTGGATGACTGGCCTGATATTTTTGAAATGTTTTTTCAGCCAGACATTTTGCTGAAAAGACCATAAAAGAACAGATGAAAGCATTTAAAAGTTGGGGAGTTATAGGTGATTGGAAAAACACATATCAAACCTTCAACCAAGACTATGTTAAGACACAGTTTCGAATATTTCATAAATTATACCAGAAAAACCTTGTCTACCGTGATATAAAACCCATTCATTGGTCTCCATCATCAAGGTATGTGTACTTCATGTCACTAATGTTGTTTGTTCCAACTTATTTTTGTTTCAGAACAGCCCTTGCTGAGGCGGAATTGGAGTATAATGAAAACCATAAAAGTCCGAGTACCTACGTTCGGTTTGAAATAAAACATTTCCCAAACTTTGACCACAAAGATGGAAATAGGTATCATTATTTTTGTATTTCTTAAATGATTTTTATATTCTTCAAGCTGTGTGTACCACTCCATTGCATATAAACAATTTTCTTACAAACATATCTGACATTTAATTTACTGCAATGTATTATAATAAGAATACCTGTAGTATTTATTATTTGGTTTCAGACTGTATGCTATAATTTGGACCACAACACCGTGGACTTTACCTGCCAATAATGCTGTATGTTATAATGAGAAGCTGTCGTATGTTATCGTGAAAAAAGCTAACTCATCAGATTCATCTCTTTACGTCATAGCAGCTGATTTATTGAAAACTGTGTCTTCAGTGTTGAATTGTGACTTTGAAGTTGTTAAAGAGTTCAAAGGTATAATAAAATAGGCTAATACTAGGGATCGGCCTATAACGATATTATATCGCCAATATCGTCCTATTTTGCCGATATATGTGTAAGCCCGCCAACATAAGTTCTGTTAAATAACGTTTAATTTTTTTTAATTGCATGTTTTTGTTACATATGTAAAAAAATAGACTTATCCGCCATTTTTGGTCTTAGGTTTTTGACAAAAAGTTAAATATAGTGTTACAGTTTCTTTTTATAATAATAATTTTATAGCTGTTCTTAAAAATATCTGAATTTATTTTTAGTAATAAAGCACTTCTCCAGGTCTAATAATTTTGTGGTAGAAAATCGTACTCTACACTCTATCTCACTGGAGTTCATTTTTTCATAATTTCTATCGACCGTAAATACGAGAGCTGAAGGTGACTTGGTGTATTTCCGGTGCTCTGGTGTAAGAATTCTGCGGCCGACTGCCCGATTCTGTGAAATAGTTTCACACGCTGAGTTGCAGTTTATAGGTTGGTGGGTTTTTTATTTGTCGCAGCCTTTTTCTCACCCTCTTGGATATAACTACACTCAACCATCGAGATGAGGGGAATTTGAGTGGAGCTCACGCCTGTGAGTAGCAGTTCTCCATTTTTGTGAACCCTCATTGTTCGATGCTTCTATCTTCAGGTTACATCTGGGATTTGCTGCTCTCGGTTGCCTACCGGTAAAAGCCAAGCACCTGCATAGGTAGTTATCTTCTTTTATTTTAATATTTAAGAGAAACCATTTAGCTAGAGTGGTAATACACAAATTAATTCTCTTTGGCCTGTCCTCCAGGACTTCTCCTTAAATTTTTTTGTTCAATAAATCTCTGTGTGCCTTGTGAGATTGTCTCCTTAGCTCCAGACACCCACCAGTTGTTACATTTTATCTCATTTCCTAGTTTTTGAAACTAGGTGGCGCCCAAACCGCAACCGCTTTGCACCCAAAAACCAAGGTACAAAGAACCTCACCTTGAGGTCGCATATCTACCGACTAACCTTGTTTTGGCGGGATAACAATAGGTGAATTAATACAAAACTAAACGTAGGATATATAAAAAACAGGAGCTATTAAAAAAATATGGTGAAAACATAATGAAAACTTCTGCCCTATAAGGAGTTAACCCGCTTCGTTTGGCGTCATAAATGTCCATCTCGGGAAAAAATTGTTAACAGCAGATTCATATATCTAATTTAGTGGAATTTTTCCGAGCGATCAATCTTTTTACTATTGCACTCATTCTTTGCATCTTTGAAATCAGGAAGGATAGTTTCACGAAAATACTCATTTGATGTTAACCCATATAAGAAATTTATTAAATGATGCTTTTTGTCACTATACGAAGAAATATGTATTTGGCAGTCAATGTAATATGCCCAGACAGAGCTACGCTTCCTTACTTTCGATATACAAATAATGTAACCAAGCAAATGTTATGACCTTTATAAACTCTCTTGCGTCCCAGAGTTACCGAACCGAAATACACCCGATTTTGTGCAAAAACAGACGAATGGCGATATATCGGTAACGGCGAAAATCCTATATCGGACGATCTCTAGCTAATACTGCTACCTTGTCGTTAAACATTTTTTCTAATTTGTTATGATCTGAATCTTAGGTGATATGTTGGAAGGAACGAAATACATTCATCCTATCTACTCGAATCAGGAATGTACTTTTGTAAACTCAAGTCATGCAGTAGCAAATAAAGGAACAGGGTTAGTACATAGTGCTGGCTCTCATGGACCCGAGGATTTTCTGGTTTCTTTGAACTACAAATTGCCACTTGTAAGTTCAATTGCCTTACCCTTCGCTAAAACTATGCTTACATTATTTACCACGATACTACACGTCAAAACGTGACAATAAATAATATCTGATCCTTTAGTGATGCTCAAAACAGCCCACATCGTGACAGAGACGTATTTCCTAGCGACGGCAAGTCTTCTCCTGAGTTATTTTGCATAAAGTAATTAGAAAAATAATTTCAGTTAGAATGTACCAGTCAATGTGATCATGACTTCATTTCAAATCAGCTAAGAATTGGATAACTTTTCATCAGTATTTGGTAGAAATTGTTTTGATATGCTAATAAATTTTAACAGATTCACTATTGTCCACAGAGCAAAATTAACACAAGGGGCCAGTTAAATAGACGCCAGAATGTGTTCAGGTGTCGTAGTGAAATAGTGTATATACTTTTTATGTGTTAGGTTGATCTAGTTGATGACGCAGGATGTTATAACTCACATGCAGGAGACAAACTACAAGGAAAATTTGTTCTAACAGAAGGAAATCAAGAGGTGCAAGCTATGTTGGAAGATAATTTAATGCATTCAGGAGAAATTACCCATAGTTATCCTTATGACTGGAGGACAAAGCAACCTGTGATAATCAAAGCTAGCCAACAATGGTTTATTGACACTGATGCTTTAAGAAATCGTGCAATTGTATGTATTTTTTTTTCAATGATATCATAGTATCAGTATTGTAGCTTCTTATAAAAGTTGCTTGCAACGAGATCAATCAATACTTATTTTTAGGAATTAATAGAACAAGTCGACATCATTCCAAAAGATCGAAGTGATATATATAGAAAGAATTTAGTCAGTCAAATCCAAAAGAGGCCTTATTGGTGTATATCCAGACAAAGGAAATGGGGCGTTCCAATACCAGTTCTTTATGATCATCATTCTGAAAAAATCATTAACGAGTAATATAAATAAGAGGTTGTTTAATACTTGAGTTATAGATATTTTCAATTCTAGGCATACTATCAACCATCATTGTAATTTGTTACGAACATATGGAGCAGATTTTTGGTGGATCTTGTCAGATAAGGAGCTTCTGCCAGATAACCTTCATTCATCTTACAATCTAGAAAACTTGACACGAAGCCAGGTAATTCTATAACCAACTCTTCCCTTATTTTTGCATCACTGATTTTTAAGGTCTTTATGATGGATTAACACTTTATAAAATTGTTCATAATATGAATAATATTTTCATATCATACAAGGTTGAGAGTTGAAAATTCCTTTGTCAGAAAACTACACTTGAAATAATAGCTAATGTGTGCTGGAACAGCGAAAGAGTTGGAAAAAATATTGAAGAAGCTACCATTCATTTGATAAGAATTTTCAAGTACTGCTCCGTCAAGCGGTGCAGAATACAAACGACCAGGAAATGATCTGAGTATAATCGCTAAGCCGCACATTATCATGTTGAGAAGCTTGTTACTTGTATGTTGCCATAGGAGTGTTTCAATTTTTTCAAACCCTTTTTATAAACATTAGTTTGGTTTACCTTATCGTTGAGTTCAATACTGACGCGCATCACATCTGTTTATCTATTCATTCGCAGTATCGTTAGAGATACTGTTATACCTATATATATTGACCAAGAATGTCAAGAAAAATACTAATTTTGTGCACCACTTGGTTTCTAGGACATCATGGATATTTGGTTCGACAGTGGTATCTCCTGGGCAAGGGTGTTAGAGGGTTCGAAAATAGCGGATATGTACTTGGAAGGTGCGGATCAGTTCACTGGGTGGTTCCAATCATCTTTGCTGACTTCAGTAGCCATGAGAGATAAGGCACCATACAAAACGATTTACGTACACGGATTTGCGGTAGACGAAAATGGTACCAAAATGTCAAAGTCTCTAGGGAACGTTGTGAATCCTGTTGATATAATGAAGGGTAGCAAAAAGCAAAAACCATACGGAGTTGATGTTTTGAGGTAGATTTTTATTTTTTACTAGCTTATGCTAAACTGTATTCAAGATCCATTTACGGGACATCTATTAATTAAGTGAGGCGTTCCCTTCCCCATTTTCATTTAAGACTATAGAGAAGTCTAATGTAACATCAACTTTTTAGAGTTTGCCATATTTAGTCAGAAAAGCACGTTCGACTTTAATTTCACCTAATTTTCTTGCAATTGATACTGTCTTTTTGGGCAAATAACGTGATAATTGTCGAGAGATTGAGTGAGATTCACCTCGATCCCTTCCCCTTGAACACCTCGCTTAGGGCCCTATCGTCAGTCGTTCATACAGGCCGCCTTTGTGGCCTCTTTGATTTTCAGTCTTTTCTCTCCTTCAGAAAGTCTGGAATATTTCTAGATTGCTACTGTTCCGTGTCAGCGTCAGGGCTCTCCTATTGTGAGGCTTTATTTTCTTTTTGAATTGTAAGAAATTTCAGGCTGATATAATAGCAAATAATATAAATCGAAAGCATGAACATTGTTCATTGAACAATCTGATACAAATAGATATTTGTAACATAACCTCTAAGTCGAGCGCTGACACGGAAGTAGAAAACTATGAAAATCAAGGAGGCCATAAAGGCATTCTACAGTTGTAGGAATGACTGACGATATGGCCTTAAATTGATCGACGCTCTTATGCGATGTTCAAATTTGGGCGATTCTATTTGCCAGCGAGTCATGTCTGAGTAGTCAGCGACAACGAATAAAAGCCGCGATCAAGTGCTCATGTATGTGTTGATGCGTAGTAAATGGGGTTTGAATAGACCAGTAGTTGTTCTGTCATTTTGTAGTAGTTTTTTATGAATCATGACACGATTCGATGTGATAGAGTTATTTTTTTAGATGGTGGGTGACCTGTCACGCAAACCAAGATGCTTTAGCAAGTGTAAGTCACACTACGTTACAGTCATGCACTGAAGAATTACAAAAAATCAGAAGTGTACTGAGGTTTGCGCTAGGTAGTTTGTCGGACTATGAAGCGACGAAGATAGATTACAAGGAGCTTTTGTTAATTGACAAATATATGCTGCATCTTCTCTATAAATTCCACATCCAAGTAAGTTTTTTTTTCAAACTGTGAATTTGTTTACCATGCACAGTGACTCCGCTTCCATACTAGAGCGGCCATAGATAAACAACTTAGATTTAACCCTTTTCGTTGTATTTTAAACCTTAAAATACAGTTGTACAGACATGAAAATACAATTTAGAAAATTCTCAAAAAAAAGTACTAGATTGCCAAATATCAAAAATAGTCCTGCTCGAAACAGAATACTTAGAAAATTTACCTAAAACAACAACAAAATTGGATTTGGAAAACACCTCTTTTTTCTGTACTATACATATATGGTGCGGCACCTCAGAAACCTAAGAAGGGGCAGCAAGATGCAGATGTAACCTATATAACCTTAATCTAGACATTCTCTACTTTAATATAACATTTATCTCAGCTGCAGCAAGGCGCAGCCAAAAGTTTATAACTCTAAATGAGTTAATTTTGTAGGAAAAAATCTAGCAAAAATAACTTTCAATAAAAAAAATTATATAAAACTCCAAAACGCATGTTTTCACACGTCCCGGTAATAAATAGACTCGAGAAGCTGTCACTTGCGATGGGCGAAAGTAAATGACAGTTTGAACTAATTGCATTGTTATTCATATTTTTCAAAATCCTCGCGCCTACTCGATAACTTAGCGACTCATTTAGACTCATGAGTTTTTGGGATTTTTGGCCTATGGAGGAATCACTGTGCGCTGACACAGGTTGCCTAGACACGATAAATGAATCTCCAGTTAACTATATGAGGAGTAACAGAAGTCATAATGGACAGTTCACCTTTTCCATACAAGATAATAATACTAACCCTATCTTCAGAATTCTGTCGCTAGACGCGCTAGGTGATTTTTTGATTACTAGGAATGTTTGCAACGTATGAAACCGTACCTACTGGCGGGGAAGTATTGTAATCGCGAAAATTTTCGAAAATGATTTAATATGTTTTTTTGGTATTATTTGACAAGTACATCACGAAAAACCATGTCGCTCATTTCCTTCGGTCTGTCCGCTAATCTTATAATTATAATCGCCTCTAACTTGAGAAGTATTCTGATTTTTTACTCAGTGCCAAGGCCGCAAAAGCTTTGTAGTTTTTGAAAATCAGTCTAGTGGCGACAGGGGCCAAAAACAAAAAGAACAAAAAGCTCAAATTTCGTTTTTTGACATTTCGGAGGATCCTAACCATTTTTGATAAAAATTTCAGAGGTCAAAAATTTGGGAGTGAGGGTTGTGGGGGGTGGGGAGGCCTTTTCTCAATATTTTGATGGTAGTACATTTATACCCTCCCAACCTTGGTAATTCTATGCACATATTCACACTTACCTACCGGCTGTGGCTGCTGCTCCCGGCCTGTGTTCTGTTGTTCTGGTATGGTATCACACGTAGTTCTGCCGCGCGACAGTATAGTGTTTCCTATGCTCTTATCGCGCAGCTACGTCTAACCAACTTAAATATCGGGGAGAGTCGACGTTGTCAGATGCTGTACTGGAGGATATAGATCTAGCTGAAGATAATCCTTTATGAAATGATAACGGCGGTGCATGGAAAGTGCAGAGTCAACCTACTTGACGCCATTTTTTTTTATATTTTCAGACATCTGAGCTTACTCGCAGCTACCAGTTCCATCGAGTTTCTGCAGCAGTGTTGAGTTTGTTAACGAACTCTATATCGGCTTTGTACTACACGTCGATAAAGGATCGTCTATATTGCGACCATCTAGGTAGTACTTCAAGAAAAGCAGCTCAGTACACGCTTCACAATCTTTTTGAAATCGTCACTCAGACGATTGCACCGATGGTACCGCATTTAGTTGAAGAAATGTATCAGTACTACAACTTGAAAGACAATAAAACGTACTTTACAAGCACCCATTTAAAGCCACAGTCAGGCTGGGAAAACAATAAGATTGCAGAAATTATGGCTGTTATTTTAAATTGCAAGAGGGATTTGAACAAAGCATTGGGACCCAATACGACTGATAAGGATGTGAAGATTACTTTGTGCACAAGCGTATTTAAATCTTTGCAGGTAATACATGTATTCATGTTTTTCACATAATTTCACTTTATCTACAGTAGTTCGAAGCTCATTTACTCCGCATCATTAGCACTCGATGGGTGTTTGTTTTAACGGGGAGACAATCCGATTTGAATATACAGGCTCTAGTTATGGAAATATTTGAAAAACTTAAGTAAGTTAAGAATTTGTAGGAAATCCTGTATTTAGTTTTTAAAGTATCTCTGTCGCATTCGACCATTCGGTGTGCAAAAAAAAATTGTTGTTGCTGCAAAGCGTGTTCTGTGCCCGAGGATTTACGAGCTTTTCATTTATTTCTCTCTATAATATTTATGTCTCTTTCAGGATTTTGGAACTATCAATGATATAGAACAACAGGTCGCAGACATTGTTCAGGTGGCTGGTGTAACTGTGTTGAAAGAGGATTTTAAAGATGATCCAAACAGAATCTTCACAACAGATATTTCAGAATCTTCAAGATTCTGCTGCCCTAGATGTAGAAAAGTTCAAAGTGATGAAGAAGATGAGCTTTGTAAACGATGCACTGATGTTGTAAATAGTTCAAACTGCAATGAAAATAAAACAGCTGCGTCTAATTAAATTCCTGGTTTTACTTACTGTCAGATGAACGTATAAACATGTTCTGTGATCGCATCCCAGCGCGCCTTTCGAAATCGCTTTAATTTAGCCCCGTTAGTTGTTGTCCCGGAAAGGAATCACTTGTTATGTGGAGGTCAGTAAGTTCAGGCAAACTTCAAGTACGACAAGACCAATAACTGGAGTCCTTTGGTACATCAGATCACTTAAAAACGTAGAGGCAGTAAGAGCTTCAATGTTGCGTGCAAACATGCGTCTGCCTTCGGACTTTGTGATCGTTTGGTGAAGAGCTTCATGATGATCTTCATTTTCATCCTTATAAGGTGAGGAACTTTCGGAACGCGATTCTATTCTCGGATGAACGTGTGTGAGCGTCTTCTCGAAGTCATTGGTGCTGAGGCCGGTACTGTTTCTTTTTGTAATGATGAAGCCCAGTTTCATTTGTGTGGATCCGTCAACAAACAAAATATATGCTACTTGGCTGACACCAATTCTCTGGAATTGCATCGCAGGCCTTTGCATGTTCCCAAAGTCACAGTGTGGTGTGCAATTTCCTCAGCTGGAATTAGTGGTTCCTAGTTCTTTGAGGAAAATGAAGTCGCAGTGACAGTGAATTTGGACCGGTATGCACACATGTGGTTCCAACAAGACTGAAACACGACACTTCAAAAGCGCCTCATCCCAATTACGGGCGATTTGGAGTGGCTGGCCCGTTCTCCCGATTTGGCCCCTTGTGATTTTATTGTGGGACTTTTTGAAATCCATTCTTCATGTGAACCGTCCAAAGACCCTACCGGGTTTGAAGACCAACATCCAGGAAGAAATTGTCAGAAATAAGTTTACTCAATGTATGGAGAATAGGGGAGGTCAACTATGTAAAACAAAGCTTTAGTAAAAATGTTCTGATTCAGTTTTAAAAAAAGGGAAGTTATGTTGCCGCACCATGTATAATCAAAGATCAATTCCTCGGTATCACCATATTTAATGGAAACTAAATGTTATTATGTGGAACCTGTAAGCCTTAGACTGAAAACATAGTGGAGCGACGAGAATAGCGACGAGCAATGCAAGTTTTGGATAGTAACACATCTAAAGTGTGGTATTGGCATTTGTTACAAAAATGTAGTTCCAGCAGTATCCACGAAATTTTTTAAATGTCGGCGAGAATATGAAAAACCAGACCAAAAGAACGTTTAATTATAACATTAAGGTAAGTAACAGGTTTATTTACGTTGTTTTAAAATAAAAACAGAAGCACTGGTAGGAATATTTTTAATCACGTAGCAGTTATAAAACAAAAATATTTACTTATGAGATTTTCGAACTTATTTTTAAAATCTAGTTAGGTGTACTGTAATTTATTTCTTCTGCCACCTCATCCCACAATTTATACAAAATATACCAATTATGGTGGTTTTGGTCTTTTTGGTCCCGTAAACTGGGCCTCACAATCAAAATTGACAATCCATCTTTAAAATTGCAGAGAGACAAAGCGGCGAAAACAAAATATTTTGTGTCGATCTCGCCGCACGATAAACTCGCTCGTACTCGTCTCGTTACTATGTACGCTTGGATGTGATTTTACGCCTTTGATTTCGGCGCGATGTCGTGCTGTTTGCTCGTCGCTCCACTATGTTTTCAGCCTACCAGAATAGAACGTAAGATCCGAATCAGCATAAAAATCTCTCAAATTTCGTCTTCGTTAAAATTTTGGAAGGAGTACCGAAACATTTGTAAGCCCGGCAACGGTGTGGAGGATCGGCTCGGCTGTCATCTGTCACGTGCGGCATTGAAGATTGAGGTTATAGATTTTGTGGTTATAGAAGTGTTGCTTTTTTAAATAACAAGGCTATGATTTTCTAACTGTAGGATTATTTGAAAGCGAAATAAATTATCATTACCCACTATGATGCTAAGGAAGCTTAAAACTATTTCAGACCCATTCAAATCGTTATGTCAGCGCAATGAGGGGTTATCTGGTCTCATTTCAATAGTATGTATGAAACACATTTTTGAGCCCTTATAATATATCTTTATATTTTTAGCTCAGACAAAATTCGACAGAAGGGCCTTCAACAGAATCTGTTGCTTCAACATCCAGTGAATCACCTAAGAAAAATATTAATAAGGCTATGAAAGCCTACCTAGAAAGAGCTCAAGAGCATGAAGATTTCATGAAAAAGCAAAGAGAAGAATTTCAAATTGGCAAACGACATTTAGCAAATATGATGGGTGAAAACCCAGAGACTTTCACACAAGATGATATTGATGTAATTTTTGATATCTATATCTATTTGAAAAAGCTGAATTCACATCAATACAGTACATTGTAGAATTGAACGCAATTTCAAGGAGAATTATGAGAGTCTATAAACTACTTTTTCATTTTAAAACAAGATAATTGTTACACTTAATTCTCATATTGGGTAAAAGATAGTACCCCGTTTTCAATCTTTATTATATTTTAAAATGTGAAATAAGACACCCAAATTTTTCATCAATGGTGCTTCTTAAAAATGAGAATGCCTACTTGAATTAGCCGATTCAGAAAATGTGCTGACACTATCTAATTCCTAATATCTTCCTAAATTTTAATATTAAATTATAGTTTAGTTACTCCCATTCTCAAACTTAGCTGAGGAAGGATGCATATTACAAACTGCTGTAAACTTACACATTACACCATATAGTGTAGATCAATAAATGTGCAATGTATGCTTTGCAATTTTTAAATGATTTATTTGCCTTTTTAGAATGCAATAGAATACCTTTTTCCATCTGGACTTTATGAGAAAAGGGCAAGACCATTTATGAAACCTCCTGAAGAAGTATTTCCACAGAGAAAAGCTGCTGAGTTTGATGAAACAGGAAGGCCATTCCACTTTTTGTTCTACACTGGGAAGCCCAATTTTTATCAAGTATTATATGTAATAAAATTGCAATTATTTGAAATGATGTTTTCTGACTATTAATTTTCAGGATGCTGTAGAACATATGAATGAGCTGAATAGGTTTGAAGATGTCATGATTCGTAAAGGGCTTGAACCAGATCCCAATTTGAAGCTGTAAGTGTTATTCCAACTTCTGTTCCTATTTTTTGCTAGTTATGAGCTTGGTATTACTTCATTGAGTCATATTCAATTGTCTCTAGAAATGATTACACTAAAAAAATGTACTGAGATTCCTAATAGTTATTAAGTTACTCATATATACACTGAGAACTAAATTTGTCTGATGGTTTGGGTTCTATAGGTATGAGAGAAAAGTGTGTATAGGTACATATGTTATAAATAGACAGAAGGTCATCACCACATTGTGAATATACTACATCAGCTCCTTGAAGATGCATTTTGAAAATATGCGTCAGTTAATCTCTACGCCCAAATAATGGTTTTATTTTGAGCATACACATTTTTAATTTGTGTCGAATCTGTTTAGGATCGATTTCGGATTGGTCCATATTAAGTCGAAATGAAAGGTCAGAATTGCCACAAATTCTGCAACATCATTGGTTCGCTTGACAACACCGCATCTCGTACATTCCAAGGCAAGGTTTTGTACCTCCTTGGTCATAGATAAACAGACCTCCATCTTGGGTTTGACAGTCACCTAACCTATTGTATAAACCTGTGCGATCATTTTCTGGTGCAACATATTGGCAACGCGGCAGATTGCACGGCTTTCTGCGTCACAGTTGCTAGACAATGTGGTGATTACCTTTGCTCTTCAGCTGGCTTCTATCTTTTTCTAACATGTGTTGATACACACTTCTCAGGCTTCTCTCTCGTACACATTGAACTCGAGTCGTCAGACAAAATTTGGTTTTCCCTGTAAGCTTGGAAAAATTATACTTTGTAAAAGTCCCACCATCCAACAGTTCATATTAAGTGCCCAGCATCTAGTGTATTCTGGCAACCATTTTCTTGAACCCTAAACTATCTATTACATATAAAATTATGTAATTATCTGCATGGGACTTTGAAAGTGATACTACTGTAAATTTATTCTTATTTTATTTTTGTCATTATTTGGTCCAATTCTTTTTGTCTATTTTTTTCACAGAGAATTATCAGGATATCAGTGGTTGGACAAAGAGTCAGTTGAAAAAAGGCTGGTTGAAACTGTAGCAGATAGAGATTATGACAGTCTTATCAATGCTTTGGAAAGATTAAGTCAATTGCCATACGCCTACAAAGTCAAGGACTTCATATTCCAGTATATGATTCCACTGATGAGTCAGATTAAAACTATTGAAGCTCCAAAACCTCAATATGATACAGATGGCAGGGCTTATATCACTGTTTATGGTAAGAATTTTAATCAGTACCCTGTTGTTGAGCCAAATGCCAGTGAAAGACCTGAACTAATTGCTGTGATGCATCACTACCATGTTATTATATCCTTCTGTTTAGAGGGAGAAAAGTGTGTTAAGAAACAATAAAACACTGGTCCTTTTGAAATTGAATCAAAATTCTGCATTCCAGTATAGAAGAGATGTTGGTTATATTCATATTCCATTTTTCAGAGTGCCTAAGAAAAAGAGCTAGGGGTGATGTGACTATAAGGTCACCTGGCACAGGCAAGATAAGTATAAATGGAAGTGATATCACATATTTTGAGGATGTACAGTGCAGGGAGCAGGTGAGTTTTCAAAAAATTATCAATGTCTGGTAAATTTTTACAATTGATTGAGGACATAAGCATCCTCAAAATACTTTGAAGGTAAAGAATTGCTGGTAAAACCATCATGTTACTTTACTCCTGTTTGTACCAAACCAGGTTATGGTTTTATGCCATCTATACAGGGTGTCCCAGAAGTTGACGTCAAGCAGAAACCGGGTGATAGGCAAAGTCATAATAGTTATAAGAAAAATGTTTAAAAAAATCTTAGGTATGTGTTTTAAAAATTATAGCTATTTAAAAAATGGTATAACACTCATTAAATTATGCACAATTTTTATTTAAAGAAAAACCCAGTTTTTACTTAAACGAGTTAAAAAAATATTAGTACGGGTACATTAGCTGTTACTAATGTGTCTCTAGGTTCACAGTTAAAAATTCCAGTTTTCGTTCAAGTAACGTCATGTTCTGATGACATTAAGAAATTTAGCTTTATCAGCTTGTTATCAAAAGCATAGTTCAATATCCTTAATGACTAGTAAGTCGTTAAAACACTGAAACGGTCTTCTATCATGAGATAATCGTAATAGCTGGGTAAACCTCTACTTCATCTGCTCAAATTCAGTATGTTACTATAGGAAAAACTTGTACCGCATTTCATTTATAAAAGCTGGCAGCCTGAATTTGTCAATTACGATTACAGCCCGCCAATGTTGAACCAATGCCCAAGATCCATATATTTTATTTTATATATGAAAATACATGCATGTAATTTTACCTACATGAAAGATTATATTTTTTCATAGTGTGGTCTGACTTAAACAAGGTTGAAATCACTTTGAAATAAACTGGCCTCAAAATAATCTTCAAGGTCTTGTAGAGCAAGGTTTTAATTTTAATTGAGATATTTGGCGACCTCAACAGTTTTTAAGTATTGAATATATACGCACGGTAACCCATATCAAGTTTAAAAAAGCCTTTTACTTAAACAACTTTTTTGTATTTTTTTTGTAGTACTTTTGGATCATTCCGAACAAAAAAGGCTTCCATTAAATTTTCTCTAAAGCTGACCATTTTCGAATTATAAGCGATTTAATATCTAAAAAGCCCTAAAACTTTTATTTTTTTGAGGTCGCCAAGTATCTAAATTAGAGCTTAAACCTTGCTTTGCCTTGCTTTTGATATCAATTTATTTTAAAGCGATTTGTAACTTTGTCCGTTAGGCCAAAATTGGCGATCTTTTGGTTTTCGCATCTTATGTATCGCACTGTAAGCTATATGTAGTGCTGGGCAAACATATCATTGTCTTAACTAGTGATGTGACGAATTATTCATGATGCGGATGTGATGATATCTGTGTATTAAATCAGGTAAGTAGTTAATATATGAGCATTCAAAATGAAGCAGTCTAGCGCCAATGACACCAGATGTATTTCCAGTCTAGATATTTTTTTGAAGTTAGTTAATGTTGAGGAATTGCTGAAACTAGATTTCATATGATTTTCTCACCTTTATCGCGAAATGTAAACGATGATACCGATAAGAATGTATATTCCCAGTTCCTTTTCTTTTTTGGTAACAGACTTGCGAAGTGGTGGGGAAGTGAAGCCAGGACCTTTGGCCCTTTTTGCCGACCCCGAGAGTACCAACACAGTACTCCACATATTAGTTCACTAATCTGTCGAATCTTCCTGGTCTCCTAATAAAGGTCAGGATGTCCGAGCAAGCAACTTCATCATCAAACTCCATTGCGCCAAATATCTCAGCCCTTAGACTACAATATACAGGGTAATAGCCCCGAAAGTGAAACGTCTCCTCCTCCTCCAAGCACATGAGGCAAGTTAGTCTGTCCTCACCCTTGAAAGGGACAAATCTGTTCAGTCTGCAGTGGCCGGTGAGAACCCCTACCAAACGGTTGAGTGATTCTCTACCCCTGTAGCCAGCTCGTCCAACGTTTTTCCCTTTCTCTCTCTCTCTCGCTACGCTTTTCCGAGCTCCCTAAGCGCTTTTCATTCAGGGCAGTGTTGACCTGGCACCTGCTTATGCCCAGCCTCAGGACCGATGCAGGTGGTTTTGGCCTCCAGCTCACTGGTTCATGTTTCCGGTGACAATGCCATAAACCTACATTGCTTTTTTATGAATCCCAAAACCCTTTAGTGTTTTTGCGGTGACGAGTGTGTTATACAGTACGGGAAAAACCATTATTATACATTATGATGAGGAAGAGAGATGGAAATATACAAAAGTATGTAGGTGCGTGAAAGACACTCGATTGTAGGATCTTATCTGGCAGCGTCGGAGTGTGACGGACAACGGGGTAAAGTAGAAGAGTGATAAAAGAGAGAGATGGCAGAACGGGCGCTGGTGCCTACCGCTTAGACGGATGCGCTCAACAAATGCGATTTGTTTCTCCCATTCGCAGAGTTGCCAATACCAATATGTCATATTTCTAAGAAATCTAAGTCTACCCAAATTTCGGGAAAAATAGCTGCGGATTCCACATAAGAGTATTCAAAAAATGAAAAAAGTTCAAACTATTAAAATTGTATTAATGTTTCATGGTTCAAATCATATTTTTCATGTTTGTATATTGTTGTATAAATGATTTTGTAATCCCTATTCTTGTTGCCAGTAGAGATACAACAGTATTGAGAGAAATCATGGACCGCTAGATAAGGCTACAACTACCATATGACTATCAAATAGTAGTGATAAACAGGATTTGTTTATAGCACAGTTGCCTGGTGTGGCGAATTTGCGCCATAGGGGTGGTTTGACAACTTTGAAGGACAACTATAACGGTTACTATGGTGCCCGGTATTCGGGAATCTGGCAATACCTGATGATTCCTAACGTTTATTACGCCAGATTGTTTGCTGACTTGCGCAGTACAACATGACAATCAACGTGACTGAGCACCTGGTAACCCTGGTTTAAGGTGTTATATTTAAAGAGCTTGGGGCAGTTAGGTATCTGGGTCACATTTTTTAATGTATTTCGAGAAATCCGTAATGTTGAGTAAATACTAGATCACGTTTCTTGCTTAGTTTGCTGAAAATTCTACAATAGACGTACATTTTGAGAAACAGAGATTTGGTGACGACAAAATCGTAAAAATATAACGCATTTTCGTAAAATAATTTCTTTGTTGAAAAGACTGTGGCTTGATGACCCATTGAACGAGTATAGTGTCCCGCTCCGCTTTGAATATTCGAAACACTATACTCCAGCATTTTTTTTTTATATCGAAACAGCCGCGCAGGCAGAAGCCTAAATGCCAGAACACCGCGGCTGCTATGATGATCCCAAAGAAATTTTGTTAATACGATTTTTGAACTGCCTAAGGTTAGTAGAACTGGGAAAAGCTTCCTCCCGTAGATTGTTCCACAATCTAGACACCCTCGGGACAAAGGAGCGGTGGTATCGGCCAGTTCTGGATGTACGAAGTTTGACACGGTTAGGATGGGACGCCGAAGTCAGGCGGGTCTGTCTGGCAGGCACATCGCGCGGCGGCATCATGGAAGAGAGCTCTGAGGAGCAAAGCCCGTTGGTGTAGCGATAGAAAAGAGCTAGATCGCCGACGACCCGCCGGTGCGAAAGAGTCCCGAGACTGTCTGCTAGAGAAGAGTCATCGATCAGTCGGACCGCCCTCCTCTGGATAGCATCGAGCATGGATAATGTAGTCGGGGCGGCAGCACACCAAATGTGTGAGCAATACTCGAGGCTAGGCCTTATCTGGGCCTTGTATAGAGTGAGAAGGTCATGCGGAGAAAAGTACTTCTTAGCCCTAAACAAATAGCCTAGCTTTTTCCCAGCAGCTGCAGCTATTGAAGAGATGTGTTCGTGCCAGATCAGGTCCTTGGTGATCTGGACTCCGACCAGCCGAAATGAATGGCCCTTTGACAGAACTCGGCCATCCATCGAAACTGTATCCCCAAGCAGTGATAGCCTCTCTTGTCAGAGAAGAAGTCGTCGCTAGTCTTCTTTTTTCCAGCTCAGCGGCAGAGATCGGCTTGTCACTCTGAATTCCTGCATGTAGAGTGCTGTCATCAGCGAAGCTGTGGATTGGGTTGATCGTGCAGGAAAGGAGGTCGTTGATATGTAAGAGAAACAGTGTTGGAGCCAAGACCGATCCCTGGGGAACACCCGCGTTGACGTTGTGGGGTGAAGAGGAGAATCCGTCAATTACGACGGATATCTTGCGGCCAGAGATAAAGTCAGCCACCCATCTGCAAAGCTTTTCTGGGAGGCCATAGGATGGAAGTTTGCTTAAGAGGGCAGCGTGCCACAGCTGATCGAACGCTTTCGTGATGTCAAGAGCAACGACATGAGCCTCACCATGAGACTGGATGAGTTTACTCCACAGTTGCGTGACGTAAGCTAGGAGGTCCCCTGTGGATCGTTGGTGCCGGAAACCATACTGCCTGTCGCTAATCAAGCTGTGACGTTCGAGGTAGTCCAGAAGCTCGCGATTTATGCACCTCTCCATCACTTTACCTATAACAGAAAGCAGAGCTATAGGCCTGTAGTTGTAAGGGTCGGTCTTAGATCCTTTTTTTGGGATGGGCTGTACATGAGCAAATTTCCAGTTTTCTGGGAAGGTGCCGGATTCAGCATTCAGCTTCAATGTTATCTTTATGAAGTTCTAACGTCTAGGCCATGCTGATTAAAAGCTTGAATGAATCAACACTTAACTCTAAATTCCCCACAATTCGGGAAGCTCTACTCAAATTGGCAACACAGCGTATCTGCCTATTATTCTCATTCGTGATACAGGTCTGCGGTTAACAGTAGGAAATATCTACGAATAGCGATGAAAGTAGACGAGCCGATGCGCTGTTGCCAAGAAATGATTTCCCATGTATAACAATGGCTTTTCCTAAGGTGTATATGAAGTTGAACATACGTTTCCGATTTTTACCATTATTTATCGACAATTGATACATTTGCATGTGGCCACCTGTATTCACTTTACATAAGAGTTTTAAACAAACTTAATTTTTTTCATCGAGATCTAGTGGGTAGCTTTATGTCTTTTCGCGGTGTTTGACTGGTCACAATAAAAATAGAGGACTTGGAGGGCTACCCTCTAAAAAACTTAAACTGTAAAAATAGAAGATGCACATTTATGTAGCGCCTGTCTACCGCGGGAAGTGCAATATATTTTTCTTAAGTTTACCATTCAAACTAAGATTGTACGTACTGTGATTTCGAAAATAAAATATTTTTAGAAAAGGCACTTACGCGATCTCGAAATATCAGTTACATCCATCTGCCTCGCACGTACATAATTAATCGGCCTCTAATTCGCTTCTGTTCGCGGACGTTTGTGTAAGCTTTCAGACGTGCGTTTTTCAGTTTCGTTTCGCCGCCTTGAAAATATTTCTATCATAGTATGAGTTTTCCACATTTATGCTTTTACTGTCAGTATGACAACTTGCTTGTCAGTGGCGTGCGATTTGAGTTTACCTTTTGTTAATATTCGATGTAAAACATGGCAATGCCAGAAAATACAACTACAACAATGTTGACATTCCACATGAAATTTATTGGAGTATTTTCAGAAAGTGAATGAAAATAACTGACTTGTATTACCAACCAACGTCTTTGAAGCGTGCGTGTGCAAGAGCGAGTAACACGTGCGTTGAGGATTAACTTTTGCAATGGACAATATTTCCATTAGGTTAAGAAGTTAAGCTCCTAAAATTGTACAATTAGTAACTCTGTTTACTTAATTCGTATCACCTTGTGACTTGACTTCCAAAAAACCGAGAAAAGCCCATATACCAAGATCCAAGATCAGGATCGTATTCATGTAGATCTCACTACCTGTGGGAGATACAGCTTAGGTTACATTAAGAGAAATTTCCGTTTCTTAGGGCGTTTTTACTTGCCGTTGAGAAACTTGTGAAAAATTCATGGCTTACTGAGGTATTTGGGAAAAACTAAAATTTGGCCAACAATTTTTTATGACTTTATTCTATGGATTATCAAAAAACTGAAAGAGCTTATTTGTTAACACTTTTTAGGCACTACATGATGGTGTTTTTAAATTCTGTGCGCGACGTTTTGTTTTTGAGAAACCATCATTAACTTTATTTCTTTATATGGTCCGAAGAAAAAATATACCCTGTATTTGATAGCATCTTTTTCTACGATGTATCACATGTTACATTTGTATTCTTAGTTATAAAGAAAAAATTGTTTTTATATTAAGTAAGCGATGCAAACAAATGCTTGATATGTAAGATTATGTAATTACTGATAGATGCATACTAGATATTATATAATGATACGATATGTTAACATTTTATAAAGTGCTGCTTAATCTAGTGATATTCAGAGTAACTAATGTATTTTTAACATTTTTTATTTTATTCACAATAGGTGTTCAAATCGGTTGCCATTATTTTCTAAAGATGGATATGATCTTATAACAGAAGAATTCAAAACATGCCGTAAGAGTTCTGGTGTAATCATATTAAATGCTTCCACACCTGGTTTTTTATAAAACCTAAAAAAAGTCCAGATTCGTTAAATCTGTGGAACGCGTTGGCCAGAACACTTTACTGGAGGTAATCCACCTTCCGCGGAAGAAGAAATATATTCTCAAACTTTCCTAGAATTATGTGCAGGTCTTGTTGAAACCAACAGGTATTAACGTGTGCCAGAGGTAAATTATCCAGGCAACCGTACCTTTCTGCAGTTAGTGAGTTGTGGTAAATAAGTGGACCTGATATTTTGGTCGATAAAATTCCACACCACATTAAACCCAAACCGTTTTTGATGCCTGGATACTTCTATAGCCCGCAGATTTTTTGAGCCCAGTAATGAGTGTTTCGGGGAATAAAGACACCATTATTAGTGACCATACTCTCGTCCGACTGTATTATTTTTGAAATGAAATTAAAGCATTTGTTTGCAACGTCTACTTAAAAAAAATCAGAAAAAGGCATTCTCCTTATAACCAATAAAATAAATGTTATATCGTTGAATTCCTTTAAAAAAAATGCTATTAGATACAAGTAGATTTTTCGTACCATATAAAAAATAAAATTGGGGGTTTCTGAAAAACGAACTGTCGAGCACAAAGTTTAAAAACATCATCATGTAGTGCCTAAAAAGTGCCAATGGAAAAGTTTCATTAGTTTTTTGATACTTCTTACAATAAAATCAGAAAAAAATTAAAATGGTTTGGCCAAATTTTAGTTTTTTCTAAATATATCAGTAAGCCATGAAAGTTTTACAAGTTTCTCAACGGCATGTAAATGCGCTCAAAAGAGATCCCCATGCATATAATCCTTATCTTGGACACCCTGTATACTGTGATGATAGCTTGATGTAAAATATCCATACCGTGTGCAACTATCCTTCCTCTGTAAGTGTTCACGAGCCTTTAAAATATAAAATGTTCTTCGCGTGTTTTGAAACACCTTGTACAGTTGAGCTTGCTGTTTTGTTTGGTGTAAGATGCCCTTAACATTTGCGATTCTCCCTCCACGCCACCTCTTTAAGAGAGAACGTCTTGAGCCAATTTAGCAATTTGCGTTATTCGCAGTTAGTTCCGACGACGTCCTACGCCACACGGTCAGCCGGTGGCAGGTTTTCGCGAAAATCCAACGGCGTTATGTCTGGTCGTCCCGGTGGCTATATCTACGGCCCCGTTTCCTCCTGCAGGTACCACCACCACCATCATCATAGCGGTCAGTATCAGTGTGCCGACGGTACCGTTCATATGGCACGGTAGATATTACCTACCGATAGTGCTGCGAGACGCGGCGGCGTTATGACGCGGGTACTATCTTTGAAGGTGTTTACGTGTTTAAAGCAAATCAGCGGTAAGTACCTAATAAAACTTCCCGGCTTATTGGTTGTGGGAGTTCTGAGAGGGCCGCGGCGCCACGGTGATGATGAATTGCCTTTTTTATTTGGCAATCATCAATTTTGACAATAAAATCTCAACTAAGTATATGTAGCTAATATTGTGGCTGATGCATGATGGGAGAATAACTAGTTCAACTTAAGAATAAGCCACTTTTTCGCAAAATATAAATCCGGTGATTTGTGTTTATTCGTATTGACAAACCGCGCTCTCTACAATAGAGTTCTGTTAAACTTACATGTATTTTATTCAAATGGAGTCTAAACCAATACAAGTAAAAAGTAGGTCTTTTGAAATTTGCTATAAAAATCACGATAAAGCACATCGGATTTAGAATTTATTTTTGTTCAATATCCGTTATTTTTATATTGCAGCTGCTGCAAACGAAACAAGAAACAGAACGCCATAAATGCGAACTGTAATTATAACTCTGTATAATTTGTCAACTGCATGCGAATACGATGGTTGATTTCTATTTTTGCAGTTAGACGTAAATAAATATTTAAAATGTTTTGTAAATACGTTTATTGCGAAACGAGATTCCTGCAGATCTGCAGCACATTGATCCAGTCTAACGGTTCAGGTCGGGTATTTGTGAAGGCCTAACTGTAGATATAGTTTTTATGTTATATGAACTTAACGGACGCTTAAATCCAAATCTTCTCTAAGTCGGGGCCATGTAGGTTTATTTATGTGTATTGGATACTTTACTAAAATACATTTTTCATTTTCTATTTTCTTTTTAATTTGCTGATTATTTAAAATTTAAAATATTGTTACTTTCCGTTGGCCTCTAGCTGTCCGTAATCGTTGCTTATCTTTGTACTACCCTGTAACAATTACAGCGTTTGTAATTATTTGACGTACCCGTTCCATGCATTTGGAAGCAGAACAAAATAATCCTTGTGGAACTTCAAAAGTGCACTTTTATTCCCGTGCTCAAAACCTGGAGAATCATGTCGCGTTGTTTGTTTTCTTTATTTGGTTATATATTAAAAAATGCTCAAAATTGGCAGAATATGTATTTTTCGCGATATGGGCTATCTTACATCCAAAATGTGGATAGAAATTAGTGGGCTGCCATGAACTGCCATTACATGACTGAAATAATTAAGGCGTTCTAAAAATAAAGTTGCACAGTAAAATTTCATATGTCAATCGACATTCCATTACTATGTACTTTATTACATTACCAAGTGATTTACAAACGCACTCCAAATGTAGATTGACAGATAAACTTATACTTTGGAAGACTGTATCACTTTGTTTTTCGAACGCCTAAATTATGATAGTCATGTTATGACACTTGATGACAGCCCACTAATCTGTAACTACGTTTTCTGCGAGAATTTTTTATTATAAGAAACGATATGGATACGAGGTATCCCATTTATCGTAAACAATACAAATTCTGCCTATTTTGAACGCTTTTTGATAAGCAAACAAGGTAGATAAAAAATGAACCATGAGAATGACAAGTTATAACATCCTTATTCCCAAGTGCACTTTTGACGTTCCAGAAGGATTACTTTGTTCTATTTGCGAACGCATGGCACAGGTACGTCAAACAATTACGAACGTTGGAATTGTTACAGAGTAGTAAAAAGTACACTCTGTAACAGTTTACGAACACAGCCCTGATTATACTTTTTGGCTCTATATCTGAGACAAACGTTTGAAGGTACTAGAAAAGTGCAGTCTTACTAATCGTTGACACTTCTTTCTAGTCAGTGATCTGCCACTGTGCTCCTGATATGCTACACTGTTCTGATCCTTCTAAATGTACTCGTCGGTTTTGCTTCTTCTTTCAATTGTCTGTATAAATCGAGAATTCTCCGTTCCTCTTACCTTGAGTAGCCCAAAGCTTTCAGTCATTTAGCTCATTCATACAATAAATACATTAATATCTATGCTTTTAAAATATCTTATTTACCTATTAATAACTAATAATGAATTTTGTATGAATACAAACATAACTAAATCACTATTTCATATAATATATGGCCTGTGCTACAATCATCACACAAGGTTATAACGTATTTTATTGATATACTTTAAAGCTACCAATTACTTAGCAAAAGCTATTAATTTAATTTTTATATAATTAATTGTCAAATCTTCTGCATACACATAGTTTCCGCCTATTAATATTTTTATGAGGATATATTATGTTGGGTACCTGCAAAAAGATCATAAAAAATGTTTTTTAATGTTCTGTTTCAAAAACTGAGTGGTAGTTCAGGAAAACAATATTATGCTTGTAATTGCTTTAATGCCAGACATAATATTACCATTAATCTTTTCTGCTGAAATGAACACTCTTTCGCCAACAACAAGCCACTATTATCAAATTGTTTATTTTTATTGTTAGCTGTAGCTTAAGAGCTGACGGGTACATCTTGTCATGTATAATATCAAGGTTAAATAGCCTCAGGTGAATGATATATGTTCCTAACCCCTCATGATTAACTTAACGTTCCGCTTTGGCCGCAATTTATATTAAACCCTAGATATCTAAAAAGACGACAAATTTGAATAGATTAGGAGCCAAGATGTTTACCATGCATTGTTTGTCAAACAAAAAATTTAGTTTCAGTGCATACTTTTGGCTAATTTGCATACCATTGCCTACCAAAGTGACAAACCTATACGGCGGCGTACGTTCTTTTCTCTGGAAAGGAGATACAAGTAGCGAATCTTACTAGATGTACAAACACTATCTGTGGGATGTGAATCGCTCAGTTATTGTAAATAAACAAGCATGAAATGAAAGTAAATATTTATTAACGGTACAGAATATGGGCAATTCTGCTTAATTCGTGATTATAAATACGAAACATTTTTCTAAATAGTTGTCGTGATCCGAGCAGATTCTTGGCCAAGGGCAAATACCTGGTTGAGTATGGATATTCCTGCTGTAATATCATTATCACTACATTTATCCATTAAAGTTTATCCAAGATCGAAATGTCATCTATTGCAAGCTGTGTGCCAGTTTGCATTTCATCACTGTCGATTCTGGCGCTATAGTTACGGTCTACTCGCTACAAACTAGTAATATAGCTCTCGTTCGTATGACCATAGACGGTTAACTAGTTTATTAAATAAGTTTCGTCCTGTTCAAAAACCTGCTTCGATCTCCTTTCTCGAAAAACGGTTTACCACAAATTAATTAACAGTTCTTCACAAGGTTCTTTGTTACTGTCATCAATTGTAGGAAGTTGACCGAATCTGGCTCAGTGTTTGAAAGTCATTGACATACGCTCTTAACGCTAGGGCAAGGTTAATGACGCATTCAGGCCATGGCACACTGGGTTTTTATAGTGTAATTATGGTCATTATGATCCCCAGATTTAAATTTGGCATTGGTCAGCGAGTGATAAGCTAGTTGGATGGTTTTCTTACTTCCGTGGTTCAGATTTTTGCATAAGAAATATATAATAGTAATAATAATTGTCTTTATTTATAATGATTACATTATAAAAGGGCGAAGTTTAGCTCATGAAGCTATTTTTCCACTTTCACTGAACAACATTAAACCTACAATACACACGAGAAATACACTTGTTTATGCAGGAGGTGATCTTTTAAATGATATTTAAACCTATTTAAAGACAACGCTTCTAGGTTTTCCGGAATAGAGTTGTACAGAGCAACTGCGTTAAATGTGAAAGATCGGTTAAATAAAGCTGCGTTGTGGTGTGACATGGTGAATTTAATGTTCGGTTAGCTTCTACGACCTTTGTTGGAGAATTTAGGGAGAGAGAAATTAGGGATGCACCGAATACTACTTTTTTCAAAATACCGACTACCGAGTACTTCTTTGGTGGTGGGTATAATTTCTTGAGAAACATATGAGGAAGGTTTTGGGAGAAACATATGACCTCCTAATTTGGCCACATCGCATATGTAATTCTGTGATTTACACAAGTTGTGAGTCTCAAGCTCAAACCGAGTAATTACCCGGACGAGTAATTCAATACTCGCCGAAACCGGGTACAAGCTAGGAAATACTGTGAATCTGGTTTTTTATACTTTAACAGTTACGAACGCAAAGCTTGAATAGTGAAGTACTGGACTTTTGCGAAAAGGTGTTGGAGACAGTTTTGAACTGAGGTTAAGATTTGTGTTCTCATGAAAACTTATCGATACCAGAGGAACGAAGGATGTCTAGTTCTGGATATGTGATAGAGCGATACAAATTTAGAATTCGGTCTAGATAGCCCAGAAAATGGTGGTTTCATGTAGGGAATTTCGGATCAACTAATTATGTTGGTATTGTAGTAGTACTGCGGTTAGTTTACGTCCAAGAATGAAGTCTGCTGACCTAGAAAAAATTTGTTTATCAAGATATGGCTTTAGATGTTATGTCGCATGTACATCACGAAAGATCGTGTCACTTATTTCCGTCTGTCTATCTGTTGATGAATTCTTGACCCACTTTATAACTCGGAACGTACCACTCTGATTCCCAATGTATTCCCTACCTACGGTTACTTCAAAATTTCATTTCATTTCATTTTTCATGAGCTTCTTAAACTTCCACAATACTAGCAGTCAACTGTGCAGAATCAAGATGTCTTCAAGTGCAGCGTGCCAAGGAATGGGCGTGGACTGAAAAAAATTGCATGATAGAAGTGGTTCGATTTGATTAAGTGTACCCAAGAAGAAATAAAGCTTGTAAATCTTGAAAATCGGTGCAGTGAGAGAAAAACAAAAAATTTCAGAACGTCCGCATCTTCGATTTTCTATGAGTCTTAAATCTCTGATAATTTTGGGAATGATGAAAAGTTGGAAACCATTTTTTGACGTTTTCCAACTATGTGATCACTCGATGGTGTAATCATATATATTTTTGGGGACATAAAAAATTTTAAAATAATTCCAAGTTACAGCGATGTCAATGTTTTGTATCCAACATGTTGATAAAGGACCACACACAAAACATATGTAAAA